GTGGTGCATATGGTTGCTGTGTCTTTTGCAACTGAACGTCTTGAATTAATCTTCCATTATTTTCTTTACATTTCTCACAATGCTTTAAAAATCTTCTTTGGTTTTTCCTTTCTGGATCATCGCGGATAGAATAAACTTCTTCTTTACAATATGGACAAACTTTATAGCCGGTGAGTGCTTCAACGTCTGTTATTCTGTCAGCGTGAAGTTTTCCACATGGATCTGTGTTAATAAAATATTTACTGTTTCAAATTCTGGATCTATCATTATTGATTCCACTAATGGAAAGTCTACCTTATTTATGTCCACGTCTTCTGGTTGAGGATCACAATAATAGAAATCAATATTAACATTTAACATTCTCGCCAATCTCTCACTTTCTGATGAAATGTCAAACCCTTCATATGCATCTATTGCTTCATTTAATAGCTTCTACGAGTTTTAGGATTAACACCATCAGGAATGTTATAGAAGCGTTTAAATAACCTTCTACCTTCTGCTCTAATTTGATTATCATTCATTTTAGCTGTTCCGTTTTTGTTCATTTATGTAAGAATAAAAAATTAAAAAATAAATAAAAATAAAGTTTATTTTTTAAAGCCCATAAAATGAATTAAGAACACATAAATTTTTATCATCTGCGACGTGACGAATACATTTTAATTTACTCAAGAATGCGTACCCTGATACATTAAATCTAATTCCTGTATTATTTAATTTCACAACTTTGAAAAGTAATGTATGAATAGCTATAAAATGATGAGAAGATGTTTTATGGGTTGCTTCCATTTTTTCTGAAATAAATGAATAAATATAATGCTTATACGTTTTCATATCTTTTATGTTCTTAATAACGAATGGTATAGACCTTTTCACTTCGTCTTCCTTCGGTGCTGTTCTTTCATATGAAACATTATTGGTATCTTCAATAATGAAACCACAATCACACAAAATTTTATATGTTCCAATGGTTTCTTTTGATATTTTATCTAATAAATCAAAAACTTTATCAACACCTGTGCATTTATTTAAATAATAATTTGTGTAAATATCATGATCTTCTTTCTTAATCGTATTAGTTGCATATGTCACGTTTTTAAGAGCTTTTTTGAATTTTTCGGAATCTAAAGGTGGTGAAAGTAATATAGAGGGGTATTCTTCATTATCAATAAACTGTAGCTTATGTTTACGAATAAATTTAGTACCTTCTTCTGAAAGTGTTTCGTCTATTTCACCATCTAATAAATTTTGTGTTGATTCTGAGACATAATTTTTATATCTTTCTTCATGAGATTTCTGTACTTCTGATTCTGAAGCTGGGATATTCATTAAACCCTCTACTTCATTTTCATTATATTTTTCAACTTCTCTTAATTCCTTAATTTTTTCATCTATTTCATCTCTTATTTTTTCCAGTCTTTCAATTTCATTGTATTCATCATCTTTAATCCGTTCTTCATAATATTCGGGGAAAACATCAGGTTCTTTAGGTTTTTCTTCTTCAGATGTGGGATATAAGAAATTTATAACATCATCTTTATTCATTTTTCCATCATAATCTAAATCATTTAATAACTCGGCAAATTTTTGACAATTTCTTAAATAATATTTATCAACTTCATAACCCACCTCCTCTAATATATCCTTTATTTCCTCGTTTGTGAATCCTAATTTTTTAACGTTGTTAGTTTTGACGCTCATTTCATACAAAATAAAAAAATAAAATAATAAACATAACTAAGTTTTAATTTTTCGTAAGACATGAATTTTTAAAGTTTATTTTTTAAAAAAATTTTATTTTTTATTTCATTATGTATGGGCTGAGTGTAAATGTCTTACAATTTTGAAAATTTTTTAAATCTTGATTTATTCAAAAATGTAAGAATAAAAACCGTAAGAATCATACATTTTTTACTTCATATGTTAAAAAAAATGATACAAAATTGCTCGATATTGTATGAATTCTTACGTTTACAAAAAAAGTCACAAAACCCATCAACATATACTACTTTGCTACCGCAGCAATGCTGGTCACATTATAAAGATGGTTATTTTCGTTATCTATAAATTTGATTTAACAGGGTAATTTGGAATTATGGATAAATTTTGCTCATGATTGATTTGGTTCGCACTTCTCAGTATGCTGAATTAGGAAAACCTTGTTTAATTATTTATGTTCATATTGTAATAAAACTGTTTCCACTTGACAAGTTAAGTTTGCTGAGTAACCAATAAAGTGTATTTTCCATATTGGTGGAGCCTATTTTCGCTCAGTAATAAAATAACATATCTCGTGTTAGGGATATGGATATACTTTGTTTACTAGGGTTGAGCTTCAAATTAACGTCGTTCAATTCGAAAAATTCATTTCTCATAAAGAAAGTTCGTTTTTTGGAATTCTCACATGAATTTTATATAATGGGAATCTATTATCCCCGTGTATTTATGAGATGAGATAGAATTCTCGAAATGCGGTAGGAATCAAGGGGGGAGAATGTCTATTTCGAAAAAAATAATCGTCTTTCGGTCTATTTCGAAAATAATTGTTCCGATCACGACGATAGACATTAAAATGCATAATTCTCCACCATAGAGTTATTTTAGATCCTTGGCTTTTTAGGCGCTACTAAAGCATACTATTTGCAATCTATTTATATAATAAAAATACTATGTTATGCTTTTTTATGAGATTAATTAGAAGATTGCAAGACAAATTATGATATTTCTCACTATTTTCACATATAATCAGATAGCCTAATACTAATACTAACGTTTTGTAACTGTGCTATTGTGTTAATACATAAAAAGTATTATGCTTATTTAATTCTAAAAAAAAATATTGTGTTTATAAGATAACAATATATTATTTGTGCTAACATATACGAGGATATAACAATAACGCTGTTGTTTAGCCAAATATATTGTATTTAATATAAAAAATATTATCAATTATTATTTGTGTTTGCAACGAGGCCTTTAATAAATACATAGTTTAAGGTGATGATTCACAATAATAAAATGTGATAATTTTCTTAATTTTTTTTATTATTATGAAATATTTAGCATATCATTAATATAATAGATGATCTGAATTGTATTAAGGAAATCTAAATCTATTCAATGATTAAAATTCGATATAAATCAAGTTAAATCACAATTGCATAAATTGATTAAGATATTAGGTAAATAGCTGTGGTACATCATTTAAATAGTAATGTTTATGAGTGTGTATATGCACAATTTGTGAAAAAACAGTTTTTTGTCTCATATTTCAAAAAAATATCAATAAATCGATTATTAGACAGAATGCTTCACCAGTAATGATTGCGTTACGTTATAAATTAACAATTTTGGCCAATCATTCATCTAAAATTGTCAAGAATTGAAAATTTGAATAAAGCTGTTGATTTTATAAGAGATATATATGAGAATTTATCTTTAAAATTAGTCAATTGCTATGATATATAAGTGGTTTATCTTAAAAGGTAATATCTATCAAAATTGATTACAAATTTTTGAGAAAAATCATAAATTTTCGCAGAAATAACATTATATAAAATATTAAACTTGATCTACTTACTCAAAAATTCCAAAATAATTTTAGATTTATGATTTTCATAGATTTTTTAACAATTTTTGAATTTATTTTTTATTTTTTGAAAAAAATTTGGAAATTTCACATCATTAAATCACGTTTTTACTATTTCAATAGTTATTTTTACGTTAAGTTGTAATGAATTTACTTATTTTTAAGTGAAAATATAAAATAATGTCAATATTTTAAAAATAATGAGGAATTAGCAAGAATGATCAATGTAACTCTTTCATATATCATCAATTACTACTTGTTCTTTTCATTTATAGTGAATGAATATGGTTGAATGCTGCTAACGTATTCATTAACAGCTAAAGTTGAGAACGGGAACATCAGGTACTGATTCGAAACAGATTACATTGATGAACTCGTCTCTATTTAATCATTCAAAATTCATATTTCTCGATTATTATTACAAACTCTCTCAAATTAAGCAAATTATACATCATTTTATCAACATTACAATTGCAATCTACATTCAATGCGAAATTCAAACGAAATTTTCCATTATTACAATATTTTGATTCATAAATTAACGAAAATGAAATCTTTTATAAATTTCGAATAACCAAACAACGTATAACTCAAATGTACAATCAATAAATGAATTTCAAAGTTTTTTACAGATTCAAAATATCTTTTTAAAATATTCTCATTATCAGCTTCCTTTATGCTCGCATTACACTACAGATATATTTTGCCAGGCAACTACTTTAAAAAATTCGATTTTCAGAAATTTTACATTCTTTTTTTGTTAAAATCGTTCTAATACTAGTGATCCAGATCACTGCTACGATAAACAAATATAGTGCTATTACTTTCTTACTTATTAGACTAAAAATTTATTTTTATTATTATTTTGTGCTTTATTTTTCATATATTCACTTCAGCATACTTATTTATCAGAATAATAGAGAGATTACAGGGTCATAATCCCATAAAAACTTCTTTACCATGATTAATATAATGAAAACTCACAAATTGTCATTTTATAGGATTTTTCAATATAAAATTATGATATATAGAATATGTTTAGTAAGTCTCCAAACAATCATCAATACATATCATATTTAATGAAATTATGATTTTATATAAGAACTTGAACACTTTCTTTACTATATATTTACCTCGACCTAGACGAGTTATGATCTATGCATATATTCATTCACTTCAAAATGCAATCTTTAATAATTTCGCCCTCTATCGTCGTGATCGGGACGATTATTTTCGAAATAGACCGAAAGACGATTATTTTTTTTCGAAATAGACATTCTCCCGAATCAAGGGTAACTATATAAGCAAATTCAAGGGCAGGAAACTTGTATAGATGAATAAAGCTATTAAAACTCGAACTCATGGGATTCTAAATTTTGATATAAAAAAAAAGAGAACGTTATTTCGAAAAATGGATGCTGATAGGAGACAAATCGTATCAGCAATTCAACGTGATGTTGCTACATATATTCGTGAATTAGATCAGAGAATTACTCAACTTGAACAATCAGCTCAAAGAGCTCAACAAGGAGTAAGAGTTACATCAGTACCTTCATTTGAAACGGCAAAATCACAACTAAATGAAATCAAAGAAACTGCAGACTACTGGCAATCTGGACAGCTTGAGCATGAAGCTGAACAAATTGAGCAGCAGCTTAATCAATTTGTAAATACGCAATTACCAGCTGCTGTTGATCCATTCAGCGCAAAACTTGAAGAATGGAAGAATCAGTTCAATAGACAAATGTCATCTGTTGGTAGAACTTATCAAAAACTCATGGATTCATTGAATATTGATACTGAAGACTTAGAATTAGCCGCAAAACAATTTTATGAACAACAGCGCGCGTTTTCCAGCCTTACAACTGAAATAAATTCAATGAAAACAGTTACAGACGATTTCAAAAATGAAACTCAGTCTGCAATAGAAAATCAGCAGCATGAGTTGCAAGTAGCGCTATCTAATGCATCACAGCAATTACAAATCGATTTAATGAGAGTCAAAGCTACAACAGATTCAACTCTTGCCCAGTCTTTAGCAAACTGTAATTCTTCGTCCTTAGCGGATTTATTTGGTTCAATTCAAACTGATGTCAATTCTCAATGTGCTCAAATGGAAACAGGATTAACTGATATCCAGTCCATGCTAGATAAGAGCGAAGATCAATGGAAATCTGATCTCGAAAATATTGAAGCAGAATTACAGATGGAATTAAATGCAATGAGGAGAACTGTTGGTGGAGATTACGACATTCAAAAGAAATTACATGAAGCGCAGGCCAAAGCTGATGCAATTGAAAAAATGATTCAAGAACTATAATTCTTTTCTTATTTGTTTTTTATTATTTGAAATAAAATTATTTTTGTTATATTATTTGGGAGTTACTGCTATTAGTTGAGATTTAACTCAAGTCGTCGCTATCTTTTTTTAGCTAAATATACAATCCAGGCTCGTACATAATACTGATCTGCATTCGCATGTATTTACCGTTTCAACTTTTCTCTACTTCCTCTGAATAAGAAGAAAAGCTCAATAAAGTAAATTTCGTTTTAAGTTTATTTTGTTTGGACTCCCTCTATACTTTTCATTGGACTATCATTGATTCTTTTTATTTTTCCAAAATGGCAGAAATGCGATTTCCTCAACTACATAGAATATTACAGCGAAGCTTTGCTCCTGATAGATTCAATGAGCTATATAGAGTTATGCCATCTCGAGAAGTAGATGCAAGACAATGGGATACTCAAATTAATTTTTGGACAGAGATACTTACACGTTGGATTCGCGATTCAGAGATTGTTGAAGTTAGAGTAGGCGAAATTATACCATCTTTAGTATGGGGAGAGGCATTACCTCCAATTATTCCAACAATTCAACATTTAATTTACACGAAACAATGCAAATTAGCAGAAGATTGTAATCAAACATCGATTTTACAAAGAATTGTGAAGTTCATAAAGCAAAAAGAAATCACAAATGACACAGTAATAATTTTTCCACACAATTTAAAGAATGTTTGCGAACGAGTGAGTCATGAAGTTACCAGCAATGGTGCAGGGATATCAGATTTTGTCTTAAATGATACAGAATTGCAAGGATATGCAATCGATGTTTCTTTACCAGTTCTCAAATGGGGACTTATTGAAAATGGCTATGCAAAACGAGTTGGTGATGTATATTTCTTTATAAACTCTACTTATAAAGATATTTCCATTGATTTGGCAACTTCTATTTCCAATAGTAAGTCAATGATCAAGCAACTTGAAAAAGCTATCGAAGAAAACGAACACAAGATCGATGAACTCAGAGCTCGTGCTATTAAATATGAAAGAAATGGTCAACATTCGGCAGCATTAAATACAATGCGAATTCTTAAACAACGCGAAAACACACAATCGAGTTACAATAATATGCAGAATAACTTGACCATCCACCTCAACAATATCGAAAGAGGAGAAATTAATAAGTTATCATTAAGTTCTCTTGATCAATACAACAAATTGATCAAGAACCAAATTAATACTATCGATATTGATCAAGCTGACAAACTAATTACAGATAGTATTGATCTTAACGATAATTTGAACGAAATAACTTCAACTTTATCAGAAAACTTAGTAACATTTGACGATACAGAACTTGATGAAGAGCTTTCACAGTTAATGAGAGAGCCAGAACCAGAAAAAAGCTCGAATTCTTCATATCTTACAAATAATTCAGAAAAGCAGATCAAATACTCTAATGCTATCACATATGATGACAACAGTCAAAAGAAAGTCCAAATTGTCCTCGCTAAATAAAAATTCTCTTGTTATTTTACTTATTTTCCACATCAAAAATTTTTATTGTTTCCATATAACTGTTATTGAGGGCTGAGATTTGTATGTCAAAGTTCCGCGTTCAAAATATCTCTTCAACGATTTGAAATTTAAAATTTGAAAAATACGTTATTTGAAATTTTTTGATTTTTTGAAGCGAAATTTATTACACTTTAATGATGACTAATAAAAATCTCATCTTTTTTTTTGCTCAAAAAAAAAGTATTTACATGAGTAGACGCCATTGTGGCCTTATTTTCCCTCCTGGAACATTTCAAGCACCTAAATTCTATTGGCGTGGTGGTGATGAGTTTAAGGAGCAAGAAATGCTTCAAGCAGAATATAAACAAGCGAAATTAGAACATTCAACAGTTAAAAGAGAACTTGAAGACCTTGAAACTAAGTACAATCAAGCTAAAACTGACTTAGCATATAAAGATGATCAAGCCGTTTCTTTGGCTTCTGCACTAGGAGGTTCTTCTTCAAGTACCGGAGAAAATACAAAATTAAATAAAGAAATTCAACAGCTAACACAAGAACTAAATGAAATAGAACAAAAGATTTCAGTCGCACTGCAAAGATCTCAGTCTGTTTACATGGCACAACTTGAAAAAGAAAAATCTCAAATATACGTCAACGTCGAACAACAATCGCATGATACAGATACAACAACCCGCGACATCCAGAAACTTAGTAAAGAGTACTTTGACTTAATTACAAGCGATAATTGGTTGAATTCTTACGAAATAATTTCTGATCACCAAATAAAAGCAAAGGAACGATCAAAAGTAAGACAAGAAGTTAACAAACTCTTTGAAAATCAGAACTATGGGCAAGAAATTAAAAACGAAGGAACAGTTCGTGTTAGAACAACATCTAATCAGCATCTTGATCAATTATCAAAGCTTATTGATCAAAGAGATACTTTACAGAATCAGTTATATCACGCAAATCATAGCAGATACATGACACAAACAACAAGGAACATTTTAGTTAATTCTAAACTTGAAATACTCAATAATCTTAATGCAGCACTAGAGGAATTAGGCCTCGAGACAAATGACGTCAATGCTTTGAAAGAAAAGTATCTACCGGAAGCTCAATCTCCTTCTTCGCCAACAGCAAAGCGTCCATCATCACACGCTTCATATAGATCTTCTAATAATCCGAAGACAATTAGAAGACCAGTTTCCAATACTGGAAGATATTGAAATTTATATTTTTAATAAAATTGTTTTTCATTATTTTGTTTATTAATTCATATTTGACTAAATAACTCTTGTTTTCATTCTAAAAACTTGTAAGACTAGCCATGATATATTCATTTTTCGATTCAAACAAATTAATTTTAAAATTATCATCAAAATATTGTGCACATATGATTATTGAATTTAACTTTTGGAACATGTTTTAATTATTAAACAATTAACTCTCCATCACTATATTTTTAAATATGATTTAAAGCAATATGAATAAATTTGATTTTATTTAGTAGGTAGGGCTTAAATCAAGTAATACGACATATATGTATAATATTTATTCTGATCTATCATTATAAAGAGCATGAAGCATGCATTCACCAAATAATCATAATTATCACTAGGTTGAATAATAACTTGATACACTCTTTCAGGAAACAAAGAGATTCATCTACTATAATAAGTGGAACCCATAGATTCCTAGAGATACATATATATATTTAAAACAAATCTTCAGAAGCATAAAATAGTTTGACTTGGGATAATGTGAATGACTACCGATTGAGAACGGCGTCAACATATCTATTTATATGTATCCTCAATTGTTTTTTGTACTTTCCAATTGCGACGGTTTTTCCAATTAATTAGAAATTCCAAATAAGGGGGTATATTTATAAATCCCCTGCTATTTATAAATAGGTCTAATTAAAGATGAAAACAAAGATATAAATTTGAAAAGATTTGATTAGTAAACATATATATTTTAGTTATTCTTTTTATTGGTTTTGATATTCTGAGAGGGCATTTTGATCCAATTTTTACCTACAAATGGTCGAATCAAGAAGAGAACAGAAACAAATGAGAGTGCATATATTTCTGTTACCTTTTCGCCATAGTAATTAAATATGAGAGTTGCTGAAATGAACACCATGAATCCTATGAAAGCGATTATAGATATTCCACGAGTACTGACAAGGAAACTGTATAAAGCTGGGTTAGTATCATCATATTGTTCTAGTTCACGTATTGTATTGGAGATCATTGCTTTTCGATTTGTAAAATGAAGTGTGGATTTAAGATAGAAAATTGAGAACAAAAACATTCTCAATTTTCTATGTGAGAAATTGTTTGATCAAATATATAAGCATTTCTTAAAAGCAATATGAATAGGTCATTATTTTTATTATAACACTTTTATTTGAGATCAGATTATTTGTGTGTGTTTCAGAATTTTTTTCAAACAGTATTCAAAATTTTAAGATAACCAATTCATAGCTTAATTTTATATAACCATTTAATTGTTTCATGATATTATACCTGTTTAAATGATAAAAATGCTTTTTGTCAATAATGGAGTGCACAACATCATATGATTTGAATAATAAATAAAAAACTCGAAAATTTTATAAATGGTAGTCATTCTTGTAGTTTATATGAGTGCTTATTGCATTTCTAAAATATTTCGAACAATATTAGATTCCCTTAAGGGTCCACTGTAAGGCCAAATAAGGTCTATCGTCGTCCCAAAAATATTGCTCGAGATGGTGTTTTACTAAGGCCCAAAACTTAAAAAAACACAAAAAAATTAACTTTACTCTTTTGAGATCCTTATCAGATATGCATCAATTTGATGCAGTATCGCAGTTCAAATCTGATTTTTTAATGTAGATGTACTCTAACATCCTTTAAAAAATGCAAAATGATATTAATTAAGCTTTTCATTTCTGTATCATACACGAAACAAAATCGTTCATTATACTAAAATTTATCAAAGTTTGATTAATGAAAAAATAATATCTAAATTTTTACATTGAGTCGGCTATTGATATGGTTAATATTAAATCTTGTAAAAATTGGCATTATCCAGAATAATACCCACTAAAATACACAATTTTTTTTAAAAAATTTTATCAATTGTTATGGTATATCTTTATGATAATGAATAAAATGCTTATTTTTCATAAGTAAATACATAATTTATGCTTAAACACAAAAAATAACACGAAAATTTTTGGCCAACATATCTAAACTAAGGATAATGGGGAGAAGCTTCCTAAACTTTTTAATCCCATAAATATGGTCATTATCTGGAATAAAGAGTTAAGCGTCATATGTCACTTTTTGTACTCAGGAAACATCGACCTTATGCGTTATGACTTTTCGATGAGGAAACAAGTGTTCACGTATTATAAACTTCCTTATTCCAATAAACCGACCCTAAACATAATTAATTCTAAGCATGATAATGGTCTCTTTTCTATGATAACCAAATCAATTTGGTTATCATAGTAAAGCACCAAAAACTGGAATAGGAATCGGCAATATGGAATCATGAAGCAACTCGGATAAAATAAATATGGAACATTCATACATCCATTCCCTATTTTTAACCATATTTTCAAACAAAATTCTCGTACTATTTTCAATAAAATTTGCATAACCTTGTTATTACTCTTAGGCGAAAGATGATTTTAATGTTAATTTTATAGAAGAACTTTTAATGCATAATAAAATAACCATTTCCTATAAATTTAGACTTAAAACGATGACAATAAACAAGCTTTAGTCTAGAAATTAATTTTCTACTACTATAAATGCATCTTTATCTTTAATTAGAAAAAAATTTATCAATTTTATTATCCAGATGAAAAAAGAAGTGACATATGATATTTTATCTAATTTAAAATCTTTTATTGATTGTTTTTAAAAACTTTGCATTTTGTATGAGTATTTCATGTTTAAATCAGTATAAATACGCAAAATACTTATGAAATTCCAGCTGTTATTCAGTACTATTCATTTTTCAGCAATCATTAACTGTGGAAGAGTATGGCAAGCGTTCGATAATGATCATGTATACTCAGATCATCAAGAATGAATTAAAGTCAATGCAGGGAAATGGATAATCCGATTAAAAACCCCAAAAAGGAAAAAGATATTATATGAACGTCTCACAAATGGTTAGTACTAAGCTCTTTCCTGATGATTGAATATTCTTTCATATTTTTGTATATTGTAAGGGATTTTCTCCCCAAATATATAATACCTTCCTTATAAACGATCTACTTTCTTTGAATACAAGTATAATTTTACATTTTAGGAAAAAAATTTATTTTTTCAAATTTATCTTATAACAATAGAGATTTATATATGTGTGTGTCAATATAGGCTTTAGTGGTATAAAATTGGGTAGATTTTGTTTTATTTTGAGTAAAAAATTCAAAAAATACTACCTCATTTTGCGTGCAAAGGAATAGTCAGAGCTATTTAATAACATTTTACGAATGAACTATGGAATTACTATAACTTTTGAAGAAATTTCAAAGTTAATAGAAGATTGTATTTTAGAAATCAGCTAAAAGAATGATGTGCATGCATCAAGCGTTAAAGTATCCTAATCAAAATATAGTAATATACAATGATTAGCAAAGCAGATTTGAATCGGCAAGAAGAGTTGCTTAAAAAATCAGTTGAGTCTTCTCTAGTTTCCACACTGCCTATTCCTGTTTAAGTGCGGTTATTCCTATTCCAGTTTTTGGTGCTTTACTATGATAACCAAATTGATTTGGTTATCATAGAAAAGAGACCATTATCATGCTTAGAATTAATTATGTTTAGGGTCGGTTTATTGGAATAAGGAAGTTTATAATACGTGAACACTTGTTTCCTCATCGAAAAGTCATAACGCATAAGGTCGATGTTTCCTGAGTACAAAAAGTGACATATGACGCTTAACTCTTTATTCCAGATAATGACCATATTTATGGGATTAAAAAGTTTAGGAAGCTTCTCCCCAATGGTTTGAATATATAAACATAAGGAAGTCAATTTGGAAAATTGTTTTCACTTTAGGAGAATATAATTTTCCATTTGGAAAATTTAAAAAGTGAGACGCGCAGGATTCGAACTTTTTTAAAAGTTGATTTAAATGAATTTTAGTGTGGAAGATAAGGATAATATCATATTTAAAATAAGAATATACTAGTTTAGGTGGTATTAATTTTTTCGATAAATTTGAGAGTATGTACGTTTAGGGTATGAAAAGTGTCAATTCGCTCAGCGAAAGCTGAGCTAGCTTCGTTCTCGAAAGAATAAGGAAGGAGTGAAGGAGAATGATACAGAAGTTGACACATTCATATCATTTCAACAAATTTTGATCAAATTGAAATTCAATAAAATTCAATTCAATTCATATCCTTCAGTCAGTACATTGATATCCTTCTGCATCACAATGATAACTCGGGCATCAATAGTTCTACAACTAACTCAGAAAAAACAAGATTATTACTTCCTGCTTACAGCTTTTAAAAAGTTTCGATGATAAAAATCACTCTACTCTCGTTTATCGACATATGGTGATAGTAGGTAAACATATTCTTATCGATATTAATAAAATATTTGTACGAAAATCTTATCCAATTAGAGAGTTATTCATAAAGTATATGATAATTATAATTACTTTATCTTTGTTTTATCTTTGAATAAACAATTTAATTTAAATTGCATAATATTTTTTGGTTGAAAGACAGGAAAATTAGTTGAGTTTGTATTATTTTTATCGTTTAATTCATCGTATCAGTGAGTGATCCAGATATTTAAGATATTTAGAAAAAAATTATTAATTTGATTAACAAATTTTAATCAAAATAGCAAAAATCTATTTGATAGCTGTAAACAAACAATAATTTTTATTTCAAGCAAAATCACTTATTTTCATCTAAACGTATAAAATTGTCAATTTTATGAAAATAAATTGAAAATCTCATGAAATGTAAAGGAGAGTAATATTTTTCAATTTTCTTTTTTTCTTTGTCTCAAATATTTTCTGTTGGGAATTTTCTTGTTATCAAAAAATAATTTTAATATTTGTTTATTTCATTACATACAATAAAATTTTAAAAACTCTATTTCTTCTCAAGAAAATTTTTTCCTTCATATGAAGAAACATTTTGTTCTCCATTTGATACTGAGTCTAAATCTCGATTTTTGAATTTTCTTCTTTCCAAATTAGAAGTTTAATTCAAATTTTCAATAGTTTATATATTTTCTCAAACCGTCTCAGATTTTCTCACTTTTTAGGGATTTTCTCTCAAAGTATACAAAAATAGTAATATCAATACATGTGTCTAATATACTTTAAAACCATCGTGACAAAATTCAAAAACGAAGAGTTCTTCTCTCCAAATTTTTTTCAAAATCAAAAAAATGAGATAAAAAAATATGTTTGGAAAATTCATTTTTAGCATTTTAGGAATTTTCTCACTTTTCTTCCAAATTGACATCCTTAAATAAACAATAATACTTTGTCCAGGGAATTAAATTTGTGCTATCCAATTGTCAATTCTTTGAATTTTTTTTAAATGCAAGATATCCCGGCATTAGCCTCAATAAATATATATATTATGCATCATAATATTAGTTTGTAATGGCATTAAAGCGAAATTCCTAATTTCTTCTCAATTAAATTCCTTGAAAAACATTGGAATTAATGATTGGAAATAGGTCACAAAATTCCTAATATAAAACTTATACTTAAGATAAAATTAAAATTCGAAAATATCTATTTTTCAAAACACGCATCCAAAAGCGAAAAAATTCGAAAAAATCATGTTCTTATAAAACTCACTGATTTTGCAATTTTTATGAGATTTGAAGTGATAGAATATATTACCATCTTATTGAAACATATGCTTCATTGTTGTATTCACATAATATTAATCAGAACACTAGGAAAAGTGGATTTTCGAAAAACGACGATAACGATTATTTGCAAATCGCCTCTCAATTTTGAGAGACTTTCAATTTTTACAGTGGACCCTTAAAGAAAATAAAGGTACATTCACTAGGCGATAACAGTAAAATGGGATGAAAATAGGATAAATAGCATCCCTATATAGTGCCTAACAATATTTATACGGGCCAAAAAATTTGGCTAGAGATTTGGTGAGTTATAAAACTTAGAAAATTGAGAGGGATTTTTATTTTTGAATTTTTTTGGAAAGTTAAAATTGCGATTAAAAATCGATTTCCAGGAGAACTAAGCATCTCATCATATATTTAAATCGATAAAAATATTAAATAATAGTGGAATAGTATAAATACATGAAATTATGGCTGAATCTACAGAAAAAATGAACATATTTGACATTTTTGAAAATTCATACGTTAGATGGTGACAGACTCATAAACTATACTTTAGCTAAGATTGATATATGGTTTCAACAACACATGGTTAAAATCGTAAAAATATTTTAGATTTCAAAAAGATATATATGGTAATATAATGGAACAAAGTCAACAAATAGCATGTAAAATATGTTATAATTAACTTTTTATTAGATCCAATAGTAGATATCGAATGGTTTCCAAAGGAATGCTTACTTGTAAATCAGAGAGTTTCAAAATTGAGAGCAAGATTATCATCATAACTTTCGATTTTGCTGCGAAAAAGGAAGACAAGTAATTAACAAATCATTTACTGTTGTTCATCAAAAGAAGAAAACTTTGATAACAACTAATGATGATAAAATCAAGCTATCTTTTAATATTTTAAATTGATAAGACATTCAAAATATTTGAATGGTTTAAAATATTTTCTTTTAATTTCTATAAGATATTATCATGATTATATAATAAAATTTAAATTTTTATTCAAAAAGGCAATATTTCAAACTTTTAATTTCAAAAATCTTAATTCTGCAATAAGTGTATTTAATTGTAGCAAATTTAATGATCCTTCGTCATGCTTAGCAATTTGGAACTCATAAATTAATGATTTCTTCAAGTAAAATTCTGCATTATTTCAAAAGTCAATAATTCTCTAGTAACTTTTCTTCAAACCCTAACCATTATATTATATTATATGTATAATGGAGAATAATTGCAAAGAAAGATAGCCGAATTTACTGGGTAGTTCTTGTGATGCGAAATAATTGCAAATTAACACCTAGTTTTAACAGCATCAATCTCTTTTTGCTCTCATTTAAATGCATTCGCACACTTTAATTTTGAAATATAAGAGTTTTGGAAATTATCAAATTTATCTGCTCAAATACTATAGATCTTCATAAGTGTTAATAGAATCATTAGCCTTACATATAGTGTTTAATATAATGATGCACATTATACTGGGATTCATTCCTTATTCATCTAGTTATTATAAGATTTACAACCCCATGAAAATTTAAAATTTTGTCAAAAATAGTGAATGTACCTTTAAGAAAATATAATTTAAAGAGCATATATCATCTCAGTAAAATATCATGATCATATATTTTTCACATTACTCTTTCCAGTTTAGATTTTATGCATTTTTAATTATAAGCTTTCATGATCACCTCAAACTATATTATTCGGAAAGACACATACGTAACATAATAATGAGGCTCCTGAATATCATGTATAAAAGTATTTTATCTCATAAAAAAAAGTCACGTACAATTATATTGTTTCAATCAGCAAAATTATTGTCCATCACAAAGAAAAACTAATGATGAAAAGAATAATATCAATTTATATGTATATAATATAAAATTATAAAATATATCTATAAAATTTCTATATTTGAGTATGTGAAACGTAAAATACATTCATTTTTTATAATGGTTCGAGGGCATCATCAAAATCTTCTACTGATATTGCAACAGCCTTTGGTTTTCCGCGCTGGTTTTTAGTTGGGCGCTTAAAAGATTTCTTAGCAGCAAAGTTTGGTGTAGAAGTGCTTTGTGTCTGTGTCTGAATTGGAATTGGTTTTGGTTGGTGATCGATAATTACTTCAGGTGTATTTTCACGTTTGATAGTAGCTGCTTTATCAATGTTTCCACTAGATACTGATTTGATGACTGTGTTTGTTGGTTCTTGAGTTTTTTGTGGAATATTTGGTGAATTTTTACCTAAAATTTTATTTGAATCAGCTGTAATCTGTTGTGCGTACTGTTTGGCAAATGAATTAGAATATTTCTGATGAATTTCAAGTTTATCGATACCTCTACTTTGGAAATATTTCATTGCTTTAGAATTTCCGCCAACTTTCATTTTGGCGATATTAGCTTCTGTCCATTTATCAAGTGAAAGTGACTGAACGAATGACATATGCGTACCTAAAGAACGATGTTTACCGGCGCATTCAACACAGATCCAAACGCCATAAGTTACACTTGCCCAATCGGGATTCGGGTTCCTCTTTCCGCACTCAAAGCAGACTTTGTTTTCTGGCTGTCTTTGAAGCTCTGAGAGAAAAGGTTTCGCATCCATTGAAAATTTGTAAACGACAAAGATTTTAGACTCTAACCTTAATAATTCAATCTAAAATAATCGTTTTAAATTCAATTATAAAATTTAAAATTATAATGGTTGATATATGTTATTATAATTTTATTTTATCGCTTTTGACAATAATTTTGCAGACTGTCAATTTTGCCAAAATTTTTAATAAAATGTTCCTTTCTCTCATTTCGTTTCGTTTACAGCCTTTTCAACCAAGGTATGTAGCATACAATATCCCCGAAAAGGTTGAGATCGTTCGTGCACGTCGTCCAAGATACTACTATTTTAAGGCCAATTCCCCTCACGCTCAAGATTATTCACAGCGTAGAATTGATGAAGATTATGCTCCATTTACTGATACTAAGGGATTTCCTAGGCATTCTAAAAGATTATTTAAATATCCAAGGGCAAATGCACCTGAATTTGATTATTCTCAGCGCCGCATTGATGACGATTATTCACCATTTACTGATACCAAAGGATTCTCTGGAAGTCTCATCCGTTCTCGAAGAGCTGCCCGCAGAAATGAACCAGAATTTGACTACTCACAACGCCGTATTGACGACTCTGACTCTCCTTTCACTGATACAAAAGGACCATCTGGAAGCTTGATTCGTTCTCAAAGAGCTGCTCACAGAAACGAAGCCGAATTTGATTACTCCCAGCGTAGAATCGATGATTCTTACTCAGGATTTACGGACACAAAGGGATATTCTGGAAGCCGTCATCGTTCTGTCTGAGTGTCCTAATATTCATCATTTCTCTGATTAAATCGAGAAAAAAAGTAAATGTTTCATCTTCTCTTATATTTATCATTAAAATCAAGCTGCACACAATTAAAGAACATAAAAATTTCATAAATATCAAATAATAATTTTCAATTTAATAACATAACTATAAAAAAACTTTATTAAATTAGATAAGCTTTTTGTTTTAGATTTATTTCCGGATTAAATAAGAATTATAATAAATTATTTTTGTTGCTTACTCTTTTGGATCTCAACTACCTTTTTAGCTTGAATAGTCCAAAATATTGGATCTCTTGTTTCAATTGAAACTTCTGGAGCGGCGACTTCATTGCTGGAAGATATGAATTCGCCCATTGTGAGTGTTCCCCAGTCAAGATTCCACCTGAAACCTTCTGTTTTAAGACATACTGGTTTCAGAAGTGGAATGAGACCACAAACATGTGTTGTACAGATTTGGGGTGTAAGTATTTTTGTCTTTCCTGGAAATACCCAATGTGAGAAGTTACTATCATCAGCTAAGATAATGTTCATGTCTGGTCTAGCTAGAGCTGCGTGAATCATTGCAGCTGTCTGATCGAATCTTCCGCCAAAAGCGCCCAATAGTAATATAGTATTCTTGTATTTCATGTCTGAAAGAAGATTAATTGCTTTTTCTGCATCCGTAACCTGTGAATTATTAATCTTTACAATTTGGCTTCCTGTTGATTCAAATTCATGCTGTACCTCTGGTCTAATTGATTGTAAATCACCAACAATTACATCTGGAGAAAGGAATTTCTTTTCTTTTTTGCCAACAAAATAATCTAAAACTCTATTACTGCCCCCATCAACGCAAACACGTATATTCGCGTTTTTCCAGACGCTATCAAAGTATTTCGGAAGTGAGTTATTTAAAGCAACGGCTGCAAATGGTAGTCCTTGCTCCAATGGATTGGAAACGATCATTATTTTGAGCCAAATCCTTATTTCAAAATTTTGATTGGAAGATTTTAAAATCTTCGAAATATTCTGATAATTATTCTCTGTATATTTTTAATGAGTTTTCCAAAAAGAACCTATTTTATAAATTGTGCGTATGTTATCAAATTTTGAAATAAAATTTGAGAAGATTGCGGATTAAATTTTAAATAAAATCATAAATGCCAATTAATATTTCCTAACCCTAAGGTATACTTTAATTGTGTTTTTGGATATACAGCAACATGGAAATTAAGCGTCAAACAATATTTTATGAAATTAATTAATGAGAATTAGAGATTATAATAGTTTTTCCTGGTATCAACTACAGGTGATAGTTTTACATTTTGTATTTTGACTATATCTATTGTTTATATGCAGGTTCTCAATGGATTTGGCATTGAGAAACATTATATTAATAAAATATGGGTATAATTACATTTAAATTCAGAGTATGTCACTACTGTTCAATTAATAGAAAAATTTTATTACAACACATTGTGTTTTTATATCATAATACCAAAGTTAGTGATAAATGTCTTATTTTTGTCATATTATGGTTCAAAATTTAGAAGTTTAGTGTACTTATAGCATTACATTATGCTCAATATGTCTTAATAACTACACGAATGAATTACACACTAAAATGTAAGGGATTAGTGGTTTTGAATCCTTTATAAAGAAGGTGATGGCTCCTAAAGCTTTTGTACTGGTTATATGAAATTGGGTTAATTCAAGCTTATAGCAAACAATGTATTTATAAAAATTATTCAGTTTCGAATTAAATATTATAAATATAATGAGCAAAGATTGTAGTTGCTTAAATTTTATCGATTTATTTCGATTTAATAGAACTCAATGGAAAAGTAACAGATCTAAAAAATTCAAAATTAATTATTTAAAAATATGATGTAATTAATGACGAAGTAAGTGCTGAAATATGAGGCATAGTATATAACTATAAAGTATGTTAATACTCTTGAAAGCAATAAAAATTCATCTTGAATTTTGAAATAAATGTAGAAACTTTTGTGGCTGTGAAACCGTATATGAGCATTATTTGTAATCATTTGAGTAGAATAGAGTAATTCTTTATCTGATTGTAAATTATGTTAAAGCTGTCCTTATGAACCCAAAAAGAGAATGCATGGATTACTCGAGTTGATCGATCAAAGGTATCTTTATCTTATGGAAAATTGAAAGTTTTTGACAGCGAAGCAAATGTCTAATCGATAAGGCTATGAATTTCTAAGCATTTTTCCTGATCGAATGATTTAAATTTGGTTTAGTATCGTTTGTAAGTAGTATTCTAGGTCTATTTTCTAAAGTTATTTATTGAGTGAAGATTTTTCTGTTAGAAATGATGAATATGAAACTTTAAATAAAATTTTCATACGTGTACATAGTTGAATAATATTTTTCGTGTAGTAAAATCTTTCGGATAATTGTTTATGATTTTGAGACAAAAAATTGTAACATCCTTTTATTATGTAAATAAGAAATTTGAAATCTCTGTATGTTAAAGTGGGCCATGTGTACGATGCGATTTTTCTATAAAGAACTTAAAATATGTAAAGTATTCAAAAATCGACGATTTTTGTAATTTTCATCTGAAAGTTGGCGCCAATTTTAATTGAAAGCCTGCATGTCTGCGAGTAATTTTTTATGGAAGATTTTTTTGATTTTCTCAATTTTTGCATGATTGTAAAATAACCGCAAAAAATTTGAAAAATCGAAAAATGCAAAACAATAATGGTCCCAAGAAATTCATGGGCCTTGGCGGAAATATGTTTTCGAGATCTATGGTACAACCATGGGGAAATATGCAACCTCCACAGTATGCTCCAATGCCGATGTACGGAGGATCAATGATCATTGATAATTCCGAACAACAAAAATCACTTCCTGATATATACACGACCTGCCCAGAACTTAAGAAGTTCCAAATGCCAATTTTAATAGCACAACCCACACCCAACGAGTTCAATTTACCACCTCGTCAAATTCCGATGGCTATGCCTCCACCACCACCGATGGCTGCACCACCGCCAGTCTGGAGGCCACCACACATTCATACTCCCCGTCCACCGCCACAAGTCTATATGAAATTTGATCCTAATGCACCAATTATTAGACCGTATGTACTTTTTTATCTGGAAGCTGAATTTTATTAGAAAATTCGGTTTTCAGATATTTTTTTGAATAATTACTAACACACAGACAAGAATTAGGTTTTATTCCAGCTAGTGAATGGAATTCTCAAACTTACTCTTTGATGGATCTTCGCCAAATCTTCTTTACTCGCCGCAATGGCATAGGTAGAGTCTTCCCAATCAAGCTATATCACGCTCTTCTCATTACAAAGGCGTTCCCTGACGCCTACTGGTATACAGGTGTGATGTGGATTACGAAAACAGTCATGAAAGTAAATGCTCAAATTTTGGCAACACTCCTCGGAATTCACGCTGTTCAAGGCGGACTGTTCCACAAACAAGGAAACTTTTCTCGCCATAACTTCACACAGATTATGATTCAGAACTCACCGGAATTTGAAGCAATTCCGGAATGTCAAGACGTTGATGACTTCTCAATTCGACTCTTTACCGACTCAAGAAACCGATTCACTCGTGATACGCCATTTGAGCTGGACCAGGATACTATTTTCATGGCTGGCGATTAATTTTGTTGTTGTTTATATATTATTTCAAAAATCCTCACACCAAATTTCGTTTTATGGGAAATTACCTTGAAAGGAAGATCTGTTGTAAATTTTAATGTCTAACTCAAATACACTTTTTCCCCGCCAAATTTTATTGTTTTTCGGATATCCGATCCGTCTATTTATTTAGTAAGAATACCAATTCTCTTGCTGTATTGTGAGTGAATCTGTGAATTTCGTATCGAATAAAATGCTCAATACGATTTCAATTTTCCTAAGGGGCGATTTTCATGAAATTAAGTTAAAAAATAAAATAATTTGTGCTCGTGGAAGGCATTCTGATTGTTGTCAAGCGATATTTCCAATGACAGATTTGTCGTTATTTTTCATTTGCTACGAATGCGATATTGAGAAGAAATATTGGATGGCCATGATATGCTCTTGGTGTTTATTGAATTACTTTTTCAAATTAAAATAACTAGATTCAAGGAATTTTCCATTTCCACCGTTTTCACAAATTTGTGTTGTGCATAACTGTTAAAGTTGATTCTAGCTCTAAATTTAAGTCCGTTATTGATTTTTTCATAAATTCAGATGGAATGTTGAACAATAAATCATTTTGTCATTTGGTCATTAAAATTGAATACTATATGTAGATGTGCATTCATTTTTGATCTCCATTATGATGATCTTAAAATTAATTTTCAATTCATCGAATTTTTAACTAAATTTGATTGATTTCATCTCGGCTCATTGGAAACAGCTTAGATTTCTTTGTCTCGAATTCCAAAAAAAAATTAAATTTCATTTTTTGATCTGAAAAATTATAAAAAAGTTTTCAAAATTGAAAAAGCATTAAATTTTTAGAGTTTTCAAAAAGAAATCATAAGAATTTAAATCTAAAAATGTGTTGTATATTACATTAATAGATGAATAATGAGAAATAAGCCAATTATGCTGAAATAATTTTTCAATCACTATGCATCCATTCAGCATTTCCACAAAAAATAGGTATAAAATCATATGCCTGTTTTATATCTTGATTCCCGAAATGTTAGATTTCAACATCGGCCGTTAGAATTCAAAATTTTTCTCTCTAAAAAAACGATTTCCTCAACCCCTTTCGGCTTAACAGACGATCCAGACGTCACGTTACCCGGAGAGGGAAACTTTTCTAATCGGGGCATAACAGATTTTAGCAAAATTAACCAGCTTTCTACTTTTAAAAGACTGAATTTTTCACGGAACCCGATCACATCCTTGAAAACATTACCAATCTTACCAATACTAACAGATCTATGCCTCGATGAAACATATATCCAATCATTTATTGATGCCAAGCCGCAGCCAAAATTAACATCCATATCATTATTGAAAACTCCTCTTAATCAATATAAATTTTTGCAATTAATGTGCGTTATAGTTTTTGGTGATAGCATTAGCGAAGTGAATGGACAAATATTAGAAGAAGTCACAATTAATACAGGAAAAGAATTGCGCCCACGCGTTCAAGATTATCTCAAAAATGGTTGGATAATCTATTCTTACTGTCCATTATGCATTGTAAACACAAAAACTAATCAGACGATTAATTTGACTTCTCAAGAACTTAAATCCAATGCATTAGCATCATCAAACCAGAATTCACTTCCTCCTATACCTGATCTAGTCGAATTCCCTCCTTTTAAGTTCCCAACAAAATCTGAAATCATATCAGAGTCAAACTCAGGTTATTCACAACTACAGTCCGGAGAATCAGATAACAACAGATATAAAAACCAAATTATAAGTCGATCTATTGAAAGTACTCATAAAAAGAAACGACACAGAAAGAAACACACGCACCTCTGGAGCGTCTCAAATACAATGGACAATACTTCAGAGAGTGATTCAAGCACCATGATTGTCGATACAATTGTTATTTCAAGCGGAGATAGCAGTCCAAATTCTGAAATATTTGTAAACCAAGCAAATACTACGTCAAATACAAGACAATCTATACCACAAAACAATGCGCATACTATTTCTGGGATTTACGATCAACAAGATAAAAAATTTTATTCAACTGGAAACTACATAGCTCCTCCTGTTAAACTGATGCAAGGCTCAGATGTCCCTAATACTCTCCAAGGTTATACTAAAAACCCAGTCCTGGTTAATGAAGGAACATCTCCATTACATCCCTCAATTAAACAATCTCTTAAAACGAATACGAACTACGTTGCTCCCCCTCTCAGCCAAAACTATTTACAGCGTCTACCACCACTTTCTCAGTGGACGTTAGATCATCCATCAGATTTTAAGGACGAAAAGCAGACAAGCAACAGCCAGGATACTCCAAATGCACCACAAATCAATAATCCCGAAAATGTTGCTTCAAAGAAGTCCAAGAAAAAGAAGAAAAAATCGAAAAAGAGATCAAAAATTTCAATTCATAGTATTTCTAAGAAAGATCCACCACAACTCCCAATTCATGTATCACTTGACTTCGATCCTTCATCAAGTATGCACTTATCAGAAGGAATGCCTGCAACTCCTTCAGCTCTTAAAACTATTTCACCTTTAGTTACTCCACGAGCTCCAGAAATACAACAGGTATTTCCTCCTCAGTCTCCAACTCCTGAACAGAAGCCGAAAACACCGAAGAAGGCAAGAAAAAGCCATAAAAAGAAGAAATCCAAAAAATCTTCAAAGCAAAAGTCATCTAAATCCGGCCATTCATCGAAATCCGAAAAGTCAGAGAAGTCAGATAAATCAAATCCTGTACCGAAACCAGAAAAACCAGCGAAATCATCAAAATCTTCAAAATCAGATATCAAAGAATCCGATGAAGAAGAATCTTATGCAGGCGAAGAGTCCCAATATGAGTCGTACAATTCTAAAAAGGCTAGTGAGAACGAGGAACTATCACAATCTATCTTAGATTTCGGAACAATTAAAATTGAACCCGCTACATCAACTGAAGAAGAGAAAACTCCTAAGCAAAAGAAGAAGAGGAAATCCGTATCAAGCGAACCAGACCTTCCTGATACTCCTGTTCTTGATTCTCCTCGTAAAAAGAAGAAGAAATTCCTCAGAAAACCAAAAACTTTGGTCGGAGGAAAAAGAGCCAAAGTCAAAGCCGCCGGACACACGGAAGTCTTCGAAACAGATGACGACGGATACGATGACGATGATCCTCCTGTCTTTAAGAAAGTCAACTTCTTCGATTTGCTTGGCGTTGACCCTGACAGTGGAGATGAATATTTATCACAAGATGAAAGCTCCCACAAAGAGGAAGAAGAGATCAAAGGACCAGATGACTTGATTGCAGAATTGAGGGCTGAAGGGAGAACAATGTTCTACCAAATGAGAACTGTGGAAACAAGTACTCTTGAAGAAATGGAGAAATTCGTTTCAAGTTATGTAAGATCTGAACTAAAGAAGATGGAATAAGCATTGACTACATCCGTCATATATTACTTTCTATATATATTAAATGTTTTGTTATTTATTCTAATTTATATTTTTTTTTATTTCAATTATGACTGATGACTACAAAATTCTTTCATTCTATTTCCAGGCACTTAAAGCAATTCTTCCATTAAATGAATATTATAACAAATAAATTAGTTAATTGTATTTCAAAATTAAAGTACTATTAATTATACATTTGGTTATTATATAAGTTTTACTATAAAATTAATAATTCCTGCTTGATAAGCATATATCATGTCAGTTCTATCACAGTTTGACTAATTTTAATAAAATCAGTGATTAATCAATATATTTTTAAAAGAATTATCATACACATATATATCCCATATCATCACTAATTCTCTTTTCGATTCACAAAAAAAATTTGAAATTTGAAAAAGCAATTTAGAGGCTAAATGAATGAGCAATCAAATAATAATAGTATACAAATTTATAGAGTTACAATATAAGAGTTAAAAATGCCAGATTGATTTCAAATTGAACTCTTGTCTTGTTCCTTAAAGCCTTATTTATTTAAAAATAGACTCCTCTATAGTCAATTAACTTTTAGTTAGAACCATCATGATAATTACCTGAACCTTTATCGAGAAACCATTGAAAATAGAAAAAGTGCTAAACGGTAGAGTACCAAACTAATTAAGGGTTTCGTTTTGCTAAAATTGTCACTTTTATAGCATATTTGTTTTTGGATGTTTTGCGAAACCAAAAAAAACTATGATATACAATGTGTGTGTAAAGAAAATACTTTATTTACTAGTTAAAAAATCATTTGGTATTGATCAAGTTATTTTTTCTGGATAAGATATTATATGGATAATTGGATAGAAAATACAATTATATAATCTTGTACCTGGTTTAATTAAGCTAATTGTCATCAGAAACTTGTAATTTTTATGAATTTCAGATTTTCTTTTCATTACTGCTTTTCTTAATAGGTCAAGTTCTTATTTACGTTATAAAGTATGATATTTACAAATATCAAGTTATCGTGTTTTTTGAGAAATTATGAGAAACAAACAAAAATGAAAAAGATAGGAATAGCAATGAATAGTGATGTGGGTATAGAAAATGTAAGAGATATGAATGCAAAGCAATCAGTATTTAGGACATTGACCATAGATTTCGAAAAAAAATGCTGCATATTGAGCGAAAACTATGATTATATTATAAGGCTGTCATTTAAAGCATAATGAAACTATTCCCTTTTCATTTTAATCGAATAAGATAGTAAAGATTTTTGAATTAGCTAGAAACTGATGAGATGTTTTCACAAATCAGATTTTTAATCTCTATAATGCATAATTCACTCAATATCTCAATTTTGATATTGCGAGATATTTTTGCTATCGGTTTCGCAATTTTGACACAATAGCAAGAGGGTTCTATAAGCATTATTATCAACGTAGAATCTGAATATCATATCAGAAAATGTCGCAAATCTGACATTTACCCGACCAAATAGCAAAAATAATTGAATACTTTTCGCAAAAACTTTAAAAATCGATAAAAATATGAAATATAGATATTAAAGAGACTTTTTATATAATATTCATAAAGATTTTCCAAAAATATGATACCGCAAAATTAAAAAAGTGACGTCTTGAGTGGAGTCAAAGGTCGAAATTGCTAGCTAAATGTTTTTTTAGCGAAATTGCGTATTGTACGTTTTTTTCGCAAAACGAAACCCTTAAACTAATTGAGATATTATTTTCATAGAAGGCTATTACTGTAGAATACATTCCCAAATTCCAAATAAACTTTTATTTCAGAATTTATTTTTGTTGTTTTTATAGAGCAAACATTTTCGTTTAAAATCTTAAGTAGTTCCTTAAAATACATGCAATCCAATTCTAATTATTTCTCTCAAAGGTGCTGAATTCAATTATCCGCCATCAAAATTCATCACGATAATTATCTTCGTTATCTTATGGTTGACAAATATTTTTCTAATAAAAACTTTTTGAGATAATTGAAAGGGAAAAAATAAAACTGAAGCAATTTTTTATTAGAATCCCTAATCAATGGTTGATTACGTATTAAACTTTGATTGGGAAGGCTATAAAGTATATGGTTTAGCTTTTGCTATTGCATTAGTAGTTGTCTTTATCATATGGAGCATTTTAATCTCTAAAGTATTTGAGTGGCACCCTTTCTTGATTGCTCGTTATGAAATCGCTAATCGTATTCATAAAGAGCGCAATGCAGGGGTTACTACATTCCTATCTATACTTTGGTGGATTTTCTTCTCTTTACCGTTTTTAATTTCAATTGCTTGGGGCGTTATTACAGCTATTAAATTCAAACCCGTAACATTCGGTATTTCCATTGCTGCAGGTCTCCCAGCCTTACTTTTCCTCTTATACGGCTTCCAAAACTACAAAGCAAGTGGTTATAGATTATCCCCAGCCGTTCGTTACTCATTAGTTATCGCATTTATCTTATTGGCTGGCAGCTATGTTGCTGTTGTTTACACATTCAGCCCAAGAAACTGGATGGGTGAAGGATATCTTCTTTTGTGGCCACCACTTCTATTTTATGCTTTCGCTATTGTTAGATGCCGCAGGAAATTCAAATATATGGCACTCCCTCAGATCTATTCTTCAGAAGAAAAGAAGGTTGATTTCATCAAAGATTTAGAAGCTGATAAATTCGATGAATGGCTCTCAGGAAGAGGCTACATGACATGGCCATGGGCTGTTTTAATTTTCTTCGTCTCTTTAATCTTCAACGGTCTTTTCGTTTTCTTATGGCGACTCAAGAAAGTTGCTCAATATAAACAAGCTGCATTAGGCACAGGTGTTGCTTCCTTCATCATTGATTTCCTCATTTTGCTCTCAGAATTCACAGTAACGGATAATACAAGAACAATTCATCTTCTTTTCATCGGCTACATCATCAAAGTCATCATTGTTTCATTCTCCGACAAGTACTGGTACATCGGTCACGGCTTCCTCTTCTTAATCCTCGCAACTTACTACATTTGCCGTTTCATCAACTGGCTCTTGCTTCTTATCTCCAAGGCAATGCGCCACCACGTACCATCCGGCGACATGTCCAAGATTTCCAAGCCATGCCAGGATCTCCTTGGTAAGATGAACCCAGAATATAAGAAACCAAAGACATCAGAAGCAGTTCTTACACTCATCTCATTACTCCTTATCTGCGCTGGTGCTGGTTTCGAGCTTGGATTCTTCAAGACAGGCGATCTCAAGGAACTTCCATTTGGAATGTCCCAAAAGGATGGTTATATCGCTATAGTTATTTTCACCATCGTTCTTGGTTTAGCAATTGGTGGCCTTGTCTCTGTTAAAAAGGACAATTTCAAGTGCAAGTGGCCAATGTCTGTTGTTTTCATCGCTGGCATCATTCTCGGTGCTGTATTCTTCTACACATTCAACCCTCTCAAGGAACACAAGGATCTTCGTATCTTATTCTTCCTCGTTTACTACTATTTGATGGGAACAATTATGGTTGCATTCTGCTACATCGGAAATGACACGACTTTCAAAGGAAAGGGATGGGGATCATTACAAACAATCTCATTACTCTTCTACTGCCTTTGTTTGCTTGCAGATGCAGTATGTCTCGTCGCAATTCCATATGTTTACAAAGATGAAACAGTCGAATACCTTGGTCTCGTTATATTCCTTACACTTACCGCACTCTACTTGTTTGCAGGCTTCTGCTTCTCTTATTTGAAGGAAGAATGCTGGAATTGCACAGCTTTCTTACTTTTAATCTTCTACTTAATCGCTCTTGTTGGCCTTGCCTTCTCTGGTTACAAGGATGCCCTCGTAGGAACAATTCCTCTTGCAGCCGTTATATTAATTCTTTCCTGCTTCATCTTTGCCATTGCTTGGACAGCAAGAAAGGGCTGGAGATTCGATGTTGGTCCAACAGTCATTGTTTGCGTCGTTTCCGGCTTACTTACAATTCTTGCAATTGTTTGGTACGCTTACAAGAATGATCTCGATATGCTCTGCCTTGTTGTTGGTCTTGTTATGTCCACCTTGTTCTTCGCCGCCATCACTTACCATCTTATTCAGAAGAATGAGTACAAGGCAACATGGGGAGTCATCTTATCCTTCATTCTCATGATCATCTGCATCATTATTGATGTTGTCGGTGTTGCTTACACAACAAAGAACGCTTTCGCTGTCATTTCCGTCATATGCGCCATTTTGACACTTATTTCATATGTCGGAATTGGTGGTTTCGTACTTACAGCCAACTCCACAAACGCCATTACATACACAGACATCTTCTTACCAGTCAGAAGATTGTTCAACGGTGAGTTAACAAACATGGGCTTCATCAGGACATTCGCAATCATTGGTTTCGTTGCTCCATGGTTCTGGGGACTCATTGCTTGCTCATTCTTCAAGTGGTACTACTTCGGATCTCTCGGAACATCCGCTGCTTTCGCTGTCATGTTGTTCATGGCATTCGCATTGATGTACAATGTCGATTCAATGTCTTTTAATGCCATCGAGCACATGGAGTACAAGCCAATCGAATTCGCCGTCAACAAGGCCATTACAATCTCTGGTTGCGATGTCGATGAAGATTTGGTTGTTCCTAAAGATGAATCAACATACGAGAAATTCATGGCTTACGTCAAATCTCGTGTCCAACTTTTCAAGGACAGAAACGAGTTCGAAGCGGCTCTCAAGGCACAGTTGTACATCACATCAGAAATGCAGTTCTTGTCCGATCTCGAGAAGGCAAGGAAGTTTGTTGAAAAGAACCAACTCGATGTTCCATTCCTTCAGCAAACATATTTCAGCACTCAGGAAAAGAAGTTGATAATGAAGTTCATTGATGCTGTTGAAAACAACGATCGCGCACTTGAGAACAAGGAAGATGGCGATTATGATGAATACGTCCGTAAGCAAGAAAAGGCTCGTGCAAAGAAACTCATCAACTTCCTCAAGGAAGGAAAGACACAGCTCGGCGAATACGGTAAACTCATCAAAGAAGCAATGAGTGGAAACACTAAATACGCTGATCCAGTTTTCCATCCACTTAAACCAGTCGCAGAAACAAATGGAAGATGTCTCCAAAATGTCGAATGGAAGCGTGCTGAAGATGAGTTCAAGGAAGCACCAACAGGACATGTCAATGCAAATGACTTGTGCCAGGGCGCTTTAGGTGATTGCTACTTAGTTTCAGCTATGGCAGCAATCTGTGCAGCTCCACACGATGTCGTTGATATCTTCGAAGATCACACAAAGATTCAGAAGACAGGAGCAGCCTGCATCTCATTCTACTCAATGGGTAAGAGAGGTCACGTCATCGTTGATACACAACTTCCTTTCTCTACAAAGTCAGGAAAAGGAAAGTTCGTTCATCCACGTGATCCAGAGACAAACGGCTGGTGGTTCACATTGGTTGAGAAAGCCTACGCAAAGCAAAATGGCTCTTACTCAGCTATCGAAGGTGGTAACTCCCACTTGGCTCTCTATAGATTGGTTGGTGGTTGGCCAGAGATTTTCAATCTCGATTCACTCGAAATGAAGGAGAGAATCAACAACGGAACTCTCTGGAAGCGAATCTTGCAATGGCACCAGGACAAGGACTACATCTGCTGCGGTTCACATCCAGGCTCAGATACAACCAAATCCAAGACAAACATCGTCCAAGGCCACGCTTATTCAGTTCTCCAAGCTGTCGAAGTCAAAGGCTTCCAGTTGCTTCAACTCAGAAACCCATGGGGTGACTCAGAGTGGAATGGTGATTGGTCAGATAAGTCTCCATTATGGACAAAGCATCCAGATATCGCCAAGCAATTAGGACACACAGATGTCGATGATGGTATGTTCTGGATCACATTCAAGGACTTCTGCGCCAACTATTCAACACTTTATGTAACATTGCGTTTGAAGAACTGGCACACAGTTGAATTCTTCGGCAAGTTCAATCCAGGACCAACAGATGGTGCAAAGCCAGTCTCAACAGCTCCTCCAGCTGATAACGTGACACAATACACAGTCAAGTTCTCTAAGGGATGCAAGGTCAAAGTCATGTTCGAGAAAATCGGTCCAAACGTTCCAACATGGTTGTACGCTGTTTACAACAAAGGTGAAGCCGTCAAGAAGATCTTCAAGGGTATGCCATACTTCACAGAGGCTATCGCTCCTTCTTCACTTGTCGAGTCTTTCGAATTCGAAATTCCAGACTCACAGACACAGTATCCATGGACAATCTTCCCTGTCAGAAACAAAGCTGATAAACCACACGACTTCATGATGAAAGTCTTCGCAACAGAGCCAATCGAATCATCAGGAGAACTCAAGCCAAATGGCTCTGGTGGTGGAGCTGCAGGCGGTGCACAGGCAAGTGCTCCAGCAGCTGCAAAGGATAATGTTAAGCAATCTCATGGAAAGGATTCTTCTTCTGACGAATCTTTGTCTTCTGTCGATTCAAGTGACCAAGTACAAGAAGTTGAGAAGGCCGAAGAGAAGAAACAGAACAACGCAAGAGATGAAGACGCCAAGCCAAAGGTCGCTGAAAAGCCAAAGAAAGTTGAAGAGAAACCAAAGAAAGCTGAAGAAAAACCAAAGAAGAAGAAAGAAGGAAAGAAAGAAAAGAAAGACGAAAAGAAGAATGATTCTGATGAATATTACTCTTCCTATTACTATTCAGACTCTTATTACTAATATTCTGACAGTGAAACAAAAGGTTCAAAGAAGAAGAAATAAATTTTTTTGAATAAAAGATTTTTTTTGTTAAATTTAGCTTCAAACATGTAGATCTATGAATACAATTTGAGAATCTCTTTAATAATACTATAAACCCATTTTCCTAAGTAAAGTCTCCCTATCATTTTTCTGCCTCAATATTGAGCAACAATATGAATCATGACCAGTTATTGTTTGCAATATTGAAGGAAAATAAAGATCTACTAGAGCTGAAAATTTATAAAATGTGTTTGAATAAGAGACTTTACGAACGAGTTTATATAATATAATAATGGAAATTTATCAGATTATATTTAATTGTTTATCTGCGCCTGTAAAACTTCTTTTGCAAGAAAATAGTGGAAGTTTTTGATATTCTCGAAGAAATGTTATTCGGAGTTAATTTGATTTCTTCTTCACACGGACTCAAATCAATGAATTTTAAATTATTCAAAAATGATTTTGTTGCCATTTCTGATGTATATACATGTCCATCAGAAGAAAAATGATCGATATGGCATCTAATTAGATAAACATCTCCAGATGTATCAAATAAATATCCTCCTGTATTTGATAGGAAAACCGAATCTATTATATCAAATCTTTTTATTGGATTATCTGAATAACTATCTACAATAATATGCAACATTCCTATTCTTGAATCTTCTTGAGAGTTATTTATATAATTACATCTTTCTATTTTTCCTGGGCAATAAGTAAGATCAGAGATTGTCCAAACATCTGCTTTTAAATTATCAAAATTACAATACCCAACATTTATGGATTTAACGAAATTAATATAAAAGGAAGGACCTTTTCTTGCAATGCAATGCGTAATATTAGTTTTTGAAAGTATATTATATATGCGACACTAATCCAAAAAAATGCTATCGTCTTGCCTACATCTCCAAAAATTGAATGGTTTACATCGAGTTTTTTTAAATAATGAGTTTAGCACTGAATAAAATTCATCAAAAATTCTAACTCATCCTTTATGTGCATCTCATGCGCTTGTGCAGGATATGGATTCTGATTGAAGATATAATTTTGGAGAATCTGTCAAAATTGTGTGACTTGTACATAGAATGATTAGGAATATCCTAGCTATATCTGTGGCAAAGAGTCTGGTCGGTCATTGATTTTTTTCAAGAATCACATAAGATTCACGATGCCCAAACTCTAGTTTAAACATGTATATATAACATAATTTAATTATATATATGATCTATAATAATATCATGCTGTGATATATAACAAAATATGAAATTATCCTATAAGAGTCATGAAATATGAAAAATGTAACAAAATTTTATGTTTTTAACATAAAACACATATGGAAAAGTGTCATATTATTAGCATATTATGTTTAATGAGTGGAATTTATTTGTTTGAGGATGATCAGATTAAGATTATTTCAAATGTACTACATCTGGGATATTGGTTGTGTTGGAGGATCAGAGATGGGGAACTAAGACTTAAAAGACTCTTAAGAAAGGTCTTTTAAGTCTTTGCTCTTCAATCAGATGTTGATTGCAGTCTTTGTTCCTCATCTGAGGTATATGCAAAGGTATTGTACCTCAAGTAAGGAACTAAGACTCCAAAGACTTCTTATGCGAGCCTTCGAAGACTTTAAACTTCAATCAACATTTGATTGTTGACTTTGTTCCTCATCTGAGGTGCTTGATAAGGCATTGTACCTCAGATGAGGAAAAAAGACTTGAAAGATTGTTACAAACAATCTTTCATGCCTTTTGACAACAATCAACATTTGATTGTTGACTTTGTTCCTCATCTGAGGTACTTGATAAGGCATTGTACCTCAGATGAGGAAAAAAGACTTGAAAGATTGTTACAAACAATCTTTCATGCCTTTTGACAACAATCAACATTTGATTGCAGTCTTTGTTCCTCATCTGAGGTACATGCAAAGGTATTGTACCTCAAGTAAGGAACTAAGACTCCAAAGACTTCTTATGCGAGCCTTCGAAGACTTTAAACTTCAATCAACATTTGATTGTTGACTTTGTTCCTCATCTGAGGTGCTTGATAAGGCATTGTACCTCAGATGAGGAAAAAAGACTTGAAAGATTGTTACAAACAATCTTTCATGCCTTTTGACAACAATCAACATTTGATTGTTGACTTTGTTCCTCATCTGAGGTACTTGATAAGGCATTGTACCTCAGATGAGGAATATAGACTCATCAAAACCCTTAAATGATCATTATTGAATCAAATATGATTAAATTTTATTATGTATAAGACATTCTTTTTGTTGTATTTTTTTTTTACGTATTTGGATTTTTGACAAAATCAAAACTAATTTTGATGATCTAAATTTATAAAAGGATATTATTATTGTTTGCATATTAGAATATATAATAAGATCTAGAAGATGAGCTCAATTAAATATTAAATTTTTATATTTAAGGTAAAAAATGCAGATAAATATGATTTTAAGTCTTTGTTCCTCATCTGAGGTACAATACCTTATCAAGTACCTCAGATGAGGAACAAAGTCAACAATCAAATGTTGATTGTTGTCAAAAGGCATGAAAGATTGTTTGTAACAATCTTTCAAGTCTTTTTTCCTCATCTGAGGTACAATGCCTTATCAAGTACCTCAGATGAGGAACAAAGTCAACAATCAAATGTTGATTGTTGTCAAAAGGCATGAAAGATTGTTTGTAACAATCTTTCAAGTCTTTTTTCCTCATCTGAGGTACAATGCCTTATCAAGTACCTCAGATGAGGAACAAAGTCAACAATCAAATGTTGATTGTACACCAAGTACTCCAAAGATTGTTCTTCAGAGTCGTTTAAGTCTTTGTTCCTCATCTGGGGTACAATACCTTATCAAGTACCTCAGATGAGGAACAAAGACTTCAATCAACTTCTGATTAAAGAAATAAGTCTTTATAAACTATATCAAGCAGACATTAAAGTCTTTATTCATCATCTGGATTATAATATCTCCAAAAGTACACCAGATGAGGAACAAAAACTTCAATCAAATTGTAATTTGAAAATCTCTTGCATAAGCTAGTTTATTTCACACACATATTATATTGTCACACTATATATATCATTACTCATCCATCTAAATAATCATTAACTCATATTTTGATTCTCATATTTTGTGCATCTAACAAATCTCTCAGATTTCAAATACATCAGTCTATTAACATAGAATACAAACTAAATTTTCATGTCCCAAACTCTCTCATCCCGAATAATGAATTTTATTTGAAATCTTTCTTATGCAATTTCGCATCAAATCTAACTTTATGGTCTGAGACGATAGACATCTTTTAATAATTTTTCTCGAATTTTCGGCGCTAGTTTCAGGTCGAAATTCGAAGTTTTGTCCGATCAAACTGAAAAAAAAGCTCACTTTTGGCGATGTAGGCAGGACGATAGGATTTTTTTGGATACATCTCTTATATATGCCCTTATTCTGGTAAACCATTCCATATAATCCAATATCACTCTTCCCATTACATATTGTTCCTTGGATAATTTTTCCAGTTGAATTGGAACTTAAATATGCAAGAACTCCCCAATCTACTGTATAAACATCAAATGAGCAGAAGTTTTCAATAACAGCATTGTTTTGAAATATGCTATCAACTGAAACCCCTTGACACTTGTTAAATACTGTTAAAAAAACTAGAATGGAGTAATATTGAACACTTTCGAAATTGATTGCCGCTTTATAAGCACCAAGGTCAATGAAACTACATTTGTATGTGAAACATTTGCTATATTAGTAGCTTTAACTTTTGGATTCTTGCCCATGATTACTGATGGTGGACTGCTGCTTCCATAGTATTTTGACCATATAAAGCTCGGGTCATCTACTTTATGAAGATGTAGATTATACAATAATTGCTTAATTAGTGCGATGAGTGTGAGGCACTATTATACTTCATAAAATAAACCGTCTTGAAAGATATTCAGCAAACCACCTCTGAAAAGTGAAGTAAGGAAAAAAAAAGCCAAGTCAAAAATTGAATTGAAAAAAATTTACAATCAAATTGAATTTATTAACACAGTAAAAACATATTAACATCTCTTTCCTAACCTTAGAATCTCCACAATAACCATGGAGTACATTGAAAGGATCCTTTCAAAAAGTCAAAAACTGAGAGACATACTCGAAGGATAATGAATGCGAAAAAATCTTAATCATTGGTTCATAATTCATCAACAATAGATGAATTTGCATATGCGAGGCTGTTTATATTTGAGAAATTTAAGCGCTCACCTAACTGAGGGTATCACTCAAATCTGAGCTAATTTTTTCCTTATGTTCCAAATACTGCAAATAGTGATCATGTAAAATATTTTAGTAAAAATCGAAAATAAGCCGCTTAACCATGGTAGGTAAAATCACTCGTAACACGAAATTTTGACATTAACACTCTCAAATTTGAGGACTTTACGTGTTGTAAAGCGTTTACAAATGTAAACAGTTTACAAATGTAAAGTTTATTTATTTTGAAATCGGCAAAATTCACGGGCGCTCCCGCCCGTAACGATACAAAATTGAGAGTGTTACGAACGGTAGTTTTAGCATCGATTATTTTTACCTACAGATGAACGAAATTTGTTTAACATAGCCCATTAGGGCAAAACGATGAATCGACAATTCTCTGCTTGCTAAATGAGGCTTATGAGCAATAACGTTTCTCTCAATTATTTGACAACACTAGCAAAAATTGAAAGAGCTATTGAATCCACTTCATGCTACAACAATTGATACATCAAGGTGGGTTTAGATGATTTATGTGACCGGATTTTCTTTTTCCGTCTACACTATGCAAAGAATTCAATGACGAAAAGTGCTTCGGAATTCTGTAAAATAAATGTTTGGACCAATTCTTTACCGGCTTCTTAGATTACGCGGATTAATACGCTGAAAAATCTGCAAGTGTCGCAGGAATGAAGAGCAGTGGACAAGGCATCTTTCTAGTCCTGGTTCTGAACATAGAAATTGTCAATCTTGGCAGGATATGTCTCTAAGGTGGCAATTCTGGCAGATAAAATTTCTTGATAATTTTCAAGTCTAAATCCAAGTAGATAAAATTTCTCATAAGCATTACATTCGGAAATTAGCAATTCTGATTCATTCAAAAAAATTTTTTTTCTTTGAGAATTTTGAATGATATTTTCAAATAAATTCAATTGAAACTATTTTTTTAAATGAATATCAGAATGTTATATGCAAATATCTCAGTGTTATACAATATATATAAAGACTATCAATCTTCTATATATGTACAATAATGTGAAACAATCGATTTTTCTCAATACTTCATTTAATTTGAATTTGAAATGAAAAATAATATTTACTTTATTTCAAATATCTTTGTGTTTCTCATTCAGAACTCAACAAACTACATTATTTGTCGAAGGAACTGGAACTCTCACAACTACAGAATTAACACAAAACTGCGACAGAAATTCCATCAAAATTATACATATTGGAGAAGGTTGTACAGCATTTGACTCAAACCCACTTTATTCCTTTTCAATTCTAGTAGATCTTTATCTTCCTTCAACATTACAAACAATAACTGGTCGAGATACATATTATTGCTTTGCATTCAAAAATTTTTATTTCCCAAATGGGAATGATTATTTAGAACTTGATGATTATGGTGCATTATATTTCAAAGGGAAAAATCATCTTATTAGATTACCACCACAGAAAACAATATTTAGTTTTTCACCAGAAACAACTATTATTGGACCAAATGCATTTACCGAAAGCAAACTTGAAACTTTGAATATTTCGAATAATATAACATCTATTGGCAGTGGTTTTATTACATCATCTAATATCAATAAAATTTACATGGACAAAGGCTGTAAAGTAACAATTGTTAATGGATGGGGGTATTCAGCAAAAATAGAATGCATATTTTTATCTAAAAATGTCAAAACTATTAATTCTGATGCTTTTAGAATTGATACAAGATTAAATACAATTGAATTCGAAGAAGGTACTGAACTTATTTTTATTGGATCTTATGCATTTTACAGAACAAATATTACGAACTTCAAATTTCCTTCAGGTTGCACAAAAGTATCGTCATATCTATTCAGTCAAGTCTCAAGTTTAAAAAAGATCTATATTCCACCTTCGTTAGTCAATATCGATACTGATGCATTCTCAGGTGCACCAAATATAGAGTTGATCGAAATCGATCCAGAGAATCCTGAATATGATGTTATATATCCAGCAACACTTATTTTGAAGAATGGAACTAGTTTCATATACATATCGCCATCAACAACAGCATTCACTATACCTTATTATGTAGTTAGCTTCGGGAAGACGATTTTCCAATCATGCACTCAATTGACAAGTATCAATGCTGATACATCGAGTCCATACTTTGACTGTGACGGTGGTATTGTTTACTCTAAAGGATTCAGAACTGCAATTGCGTGCATTGGAGGTATAACATCTGTTACTTTGAATCCTCTTTGTACTTCGATTGGAGAATATTGTTTCAACAACTGCACCAAACTCACAAATGTTGAACTAAACGAGGGATTGCTATCTATCGGATCTTACGCATTCTTTTCCATCAATTTTACATCAATCAGAATTCCATCATCCGTAATATCTCTAGGAACATACTGTTTTTATTCGTCAAACTTACAATACATTGAATTTAATGGAGATGGACCAAAAACAATTTCCCAAAGCTGTTTTCAAGAAAGTCAGATTAAAGAAATTCATTTTGGGAAAAATCTTCAGTCACTTGATTATCTTGCATTTTACCAATGTAAACAAATAGAATGTATTACATTCCATCCTGAATGTTCTATAGACTTTTCGCAAAATCGAATATTTGGAGATTGTAATAAATTAAACAATTTTCAACTTCCAAAATCAGTAGAAAAAATTACTAGCTTCTGTTTCTCAGGAACATTTTCCTTAACAAATTTTTTGATAGAAGAAGGATCAATGTTGAATTATATTGATGAATTGGCGTTTGAAAATTCGGCAATTGAGTCGATTTCATTTCCATCATCATTAAACTTCATTGGTGTGAATGCATTCAAAGGTTGTTGGAAATTAAAGATTGTTAATTTTTCAAAAGATATCAATTTGAAAGTGTTAGGAGGAGGGATATTCAGATCATGTATAGTTCTACCTAGTATCGAGATTCCTGCATCTGTCACAACATTCGATCCTTCGTCTATTGGTTACTGCTCATCACTAACTTCGATCAACGTCTCATCTGAGAACAAGAATTATTCGAGCAACGATGGCATTGTTTACACGATAAACAAAGAGAAGCTCGTTTGCTGTCCAGGAGGTAAAACATCTGCATTTATATACAAGAACATATATGTTATTGGTTCCAACGCATTCTGGGGATGCTCTAAGTTGAAGGATCTCACATTTGAGGATGGATGCAATCTTCGGATAATTGAAGAAGGGACATTCTACTCGTGCACATCTCTCTTCCGTATCGACCTCCCCATGTCTCTTGAGACAGTCCAGAAGAGCGCATTTGAAGGATGCACGAAACTTGCCATCATCACATTCCCTGACTTCGCGATGGCGGACTTGGACTACGAATCTATATTCGCTGACTGCACATCGCTGACGACTTTCTCTTTCGGAAGGTTCTGCGCTCTGAATGCACTCGGAGAAAGCATATTCTCAAACTGCGTGAAATTGTCGACAATCAACATACCAGCAAACTGCACAGCAATAAGAGCTAATGCGTTTAAGAACTGCGTCTCGCTGACAAACATATCTTTCGAGTCTAACTCGAGAATGTCCACGATAAGCGAGACTGCATTTGCAGGATGCACGTCCCTGACTAATTATACTGTTCCAGACTCATTCGTCAATATAACATCTTCCTGCTTCGGAGGAGCGACATCGATAACGACCGTCAACATAGGACCGAATCTCTCAATCATCTCGATCAGTAGCAACGCATTTGCATCATTCAGACTGAAATATTTCAACATCGGCTCTGGAACAACGATATCTCGAATCGATTCATATGCATTTGCCGATAAGCAGATAGAGACATTCTCCCTCGAGTGTGATGTCTATTTATCATCTTACGCATTCAAGAACTGCGTGAATCTGAAGTCAGTTGGAATTCGTCATATCAAGGGTGATCTCGAGTCAACATCGAAGAAACTGATGTCGACAGCATCGTCGAGTCGAGAGTGCTACACAATTCCAGAAGGTCTTTTCTCAGGATGCAAGTCTCTCGAGAGCATAAGTATAAACATGAACATCGAAACGATATCTGATTACGCGTTCATGAACTGCTTCAAGCTCTCGTTCACGATCCCTCAGTCTGTTGTATACATCGGCGACAAGTCATTCATGAACTGCAGCATGATCAAGAATGTCCCCGCTATGGCTGAGCACATTGGAAACTTCTCATTCTACGGTTCTAATGTCTGCCGTGTCCTGAAAGTAAATTCAGGAGTAACATACATTGGATCATCTGCTTTCACAAAGACTGCTGTAAACTTGATTTTCTACTGCGGTGAGAGAGACTTCTCCAACTTCTCATCGTCGTTTGAGTCTGGAGCTAAAGCGATCGTTTCTGAATCATATCCGTCAAACATCTTTTGTGGTGCAGAGACTTATTATATTCCATTTAATTTATGTAATGATATGATTAGAATTCAAACCGATCAAGATAAACTTCCAAAACCAATTGGAAAATTCCATAACTCATTCACAATTCTTCTTCTCTGTTCAACACAACATCTCGGAATTTGGTGATATTATTAAATAATTCTAATCTGACTCTTCTTCTGATTTATATCCCCATTTTGTTGCTAAAAATATGTTTTTTCCCATCAAAAAACGGAAGCCTCATTCATATCTCACATTTTTGTTTTTCTCGACATGATAAATTTTTAGTTAATAATATGACTCATTTATCATGTTGCTTTAAACGTAATATATATTAAATTAATTTAGTATATTTTTAAGTGAGATTCTCACTGAGAATATATTGTGACGTTAAAAGTTGCCATAGATTAAGACTGCACTTACGCCCATCTGACCTTAATTAAAAATTTGACAACTGTCATGAATCGTCATTGAAAATTAACATTAAAAATCTTAATCGAAAGCCTTGCTATAGGGACGAAAGAGCACCCTTAAAGGTAATCTTTAAATGACATGGAAATATTTATGTTGGATGATATTCTGAGATCAGGAAATGTCAAATTGCCACAAAATTTAAGCAGAAGCGCTTAATAATTCGCCAAACCAAATTCAATGCCTTTTCAATCGCGATTTTGAGGCAAAATTATCATTACATTTTCATTATCATTTTAAAACAAAATTAATTATTTTTTTTATTTGAATTACGAAAGAGAATCAAAACAATGCAGTTTTAATGAGTACATTTGGACAAATATTTGAACTGCCCAATTCAGAAACATTATAAGCTTTTTCTTTATACTTATTCATCATCTCTTCACGAGCTTTTTCTTCTGGAATTGAGTTAATAAATATTTCTGCCTGCGCTCTTTTGTTCCTTGCAATCAACATGGCAACAATAAATGCTCTCTGGTCTGGGAATGATTTAGCCATGTAGCCGAGCATTGAGTCCTTTCCCTTGTTAACAACTGCCCTAGCAATAATGATCCTGGCTCGTTTGTCATCCATCTTTGCGTCTTCTTTTGCAAAAGTTAGTGCTTCAACAATCGATTCATCGAGGAGAATTTCGATGATTTTGTTGATAGGCATTTCTGGAGTGATTCCGTATTTACTGCCGTATTTGTTGGTGGCTGTCTCTGATGCTTCTCTGTAGAGAATTGCGTTGCTTGTGAACTCTATTGCGTTCTTGCCTAAAGATGTATTCTCTTCTTTATTTTTGGCTTTAAATAATTGTTTGGACATGTTAATTGTCTCCAAACCTTGTGCACCACCGAGAATTAGTGTTTGTTTCCTGAAGATGAGGTTCATGTTCTGCTCGGATACGTTCCTGTAGATGCTGGCGAGGACTTCGTCGCTGAAAGAAGGATTATCTTTTTTAGGATTACATTCAGCAAGGGATTCGATGACGGAAATTGCTTCGGGGTTCTGTAAAATAAATGTTTGGACGAATTCTTTGCCAGCTTCTTGGATTGCGCGGAGTATTACGTTGTAAAATCTGCAAGTGTCGCAGGAACGAAGAGCAGTGGACAAGGCACCTTCCCAGTCCTGGTTCTGAACATAGAAATTGACAAGCTTGGCCGGATATGTCTCTAAAGCCGCAATTCTGACAGATAATCTTTGTCTATTGAGTTGAGCTGCACATCTGGCTATATCGGCTGCATTAAAGAGTTGCTCTGACTTCCGCTTCTCGATAAGCTGGAAAGCGTTGTCGTCGCTGTCTGCATAAGCGTTCATAATCACGCAGCACCATTCCGTCATGATTTGGGGACAATCGACACCAAGGAAATCTGCAACCTCGGCTGCAATGTCGAACATGCCAAGATTGGCAAATTTCATGGGAAGAATAACGGGATTTGTGTCAGAAACGTTTTTGGTGGGCATTATGATATTGAGAGTGTCCTTTATGGCATTCATAATTCTGAGAGACTTGACACATGCCATTAAATCGTAGCTTTGGCGGTTTTCGCAAAATGATAAACCAAATGCAGCGGCAGAAACGAAAGTTTTCTGTAGTTTTATATCGTAAGTATAATAAGATGCCGTAATGCATGAATTAATAGCAGTTTCGAGTGTTCTCTTGACTTGCATTTCATCAATTACTCTTCCGCTCTTTTCTACGAAGGCCTGAATGAGGGTATACGCTGGAGATGGGTCTGTCTTACGTGTTGCATCTCTAAACTCTTGTGGAATGAAAGTTCCGACTGTTAACTGTCCAGGTTCAAAAATAAGGGCCGTTGTATCGTCAGCGAACACTAACGGCGTGGCCGAACAAGTTCTGATGTCATCTACGCCGTATTGAGAGCAAATAGTGACGTCATCTGTATGAGTAATCAAAATTAAGTCACCGAACCATGTCATGTTGAAAACAGTGTCTTCTGCATCGTTAACTTGAACTCTTGCCCAGACATCGCTAAGATCGCTTTTGACAATCATCATTTCTCCGGTTGCGTAGAGAATTGCAAGGAAAGAGTAGTCGGAATTCAAGCAGCATTCCATAATTGTTGACGCAATTGGTAATTGTTTGAGTCTCTCTGAGTTTCCGACGTATAAATATTGTTCTAAGCCGTAAGCGAAGAATATTGGCTCGTTATTCTCTGTATAGTTAGGAGGGATAGCAATGATTTTGAAAATGTCAGTGGGAGTCTCTTGTAAGTGATGGAGTTTTGTGAAATTTTCGAGATAGCATATTTTGTTCGATCTTGTGCAGAATATGCAGCCATTATCCCAAAAATCACAGGCACGGACATCAGCTGCTAAATCGAATGAGACTGTAGAAAGTTTTCTTCCATTTTTATAAACAATACACGTTGTTTGACTTGTTTGAAGAAGAACAACAACTCTGTCATCAACTGTAACATGAATGAAAGCGTTATTTAGTTTGTCTGGTAAATAAATGTCATTAACTTGATTAAATTTGTGATCATAAAGAATAACTTTACGAGAATTGTCGGCTGGATAGTATGCAATAAGACGACCTTTTGTACCGCCAGCGTATTTGTCATAACCCTGACTAAATCTGTCAGTAATAGGAATATATCCCCAAATAGTTTCCCACCACATGGAAAGATCCTGTAATTGCTGTGTGTTTTTATAGATGTTTTCTATTTCATCTAAATTACACACCTCTTTATAATCTAAATCCATCATTTTTTTTTATTTCCAAAAATTTTTTTCCTTCTAAAAAAAAGAGAGGATAGACGAAATTTTTAAGACTTTACGAGTTTGTAGCTAAAAATATCAAATAAAACAAATTATCTCAAAAAATAATAATATTGCCATTTACCAATTTTCTATTGAATCTAATTTCGTCTTCTTGAACTATTTTTACTGTACAAGCGACTAAACTTTAGCGTCTTAAGGCAGATGTTGGACATGCAATGTTGAAAACTTATACTTATCTTGATATTTTATTCTTATTCTTGTGGAAATCGTTTTTTTGGATGTGGGAATCAATTTGTTGGTATCTTGTATATCTAATGAGTCAATACTGCAAATTCCATCAGTGAGATAAATTTGACAATTTTTTTGAAAATTTCAAAATTATGGATCCTGTTCCTATTCTTCAACAGGAGATAAATTACAATATGTCAAAACTCAAAAAGAACTTATCTAACCGTGAAGATATGCTGAATGATAAACGTGGTGGAAATATTGATATATTTAATAACATCGGTGTGCAAATGCTCGATGATATTAAGGTAATTAGAACTTCACTTTCAGATATTGCCGAATCAATAGAAGCTGTTAGAAAACACATGGGTGATTATAATATTACCGAAACAACTTTACTTCAAAGAGAACAATATATTAAAGTTAATCTCGATGAACTTATAAGAATTGAACAAGAAGTTCAAACACAAAATAACAGACGAAATACTTTAAATAAAACTGTATCTTACTCTGGACCTCAAACATTTAGCAATACGGATGGGCAACAATCATTAACAGACATCATTAAGAAAGATCAAATCGAAGATCTTCATTATTCTGCAACTCTTTCAAAGCAACTCGCGAATCAGATTTTTGATGAGTTAAATGACCAACAAAATCTTATTTCCACATTAGATGATGATGTTACTAATGCTGACGAAGCAATGAAAAAGGTTACTTCTGAAATTAAAAAATTAATGGAAATAGAAGGTAAAACGCCAACCATGCTTGTTGCAATTTTATCTGTTGTGTTTATAATATTACTTTTTATTGTAATTTGATTCCTAAACTTATGTTTTATTTTATAATTTTTGTTACGAATTAGATTCATACTATGACATTCAAAGCAGCTTCTGATGAAAGTACATCGTCAACAAGATTTCCTTCAATAGAAGAAATTTGAAATTTGTCACTTTTATATATTTTTTAGAGGTAATGTCATCAGATAATATGGATTCTGCGGTAAATGCTATGCGTGCTCTACAAGATCGTATCAATGAACTACAAAATGAAAATGAAATCCTTAAACACGATATAACAATTCTCCGTTTAAATTTATCTGCACAAAATTCATCTAACATGGCGGTAGACGCTCAGTTAAATAGTAAAGCACAAACACTTGCAAGTGAATTAAATGCAGTTTCACAATCATTAATTACATTAAGGCAGCTTCGAAGAGATAAAAACGATTTAAAAGAACTTAATACAAAAATACAAGCAGAATTGGGTCAACAATTAAGAAAAAATATATTAATGCGTAATAAAATAAAAATATTAAAATCTAAACTTGACGAAATTCTTGGATCAGAAGACGAACTTGATGCAATTCTTTTACAATATGTTCTTCCAGAACCATCAAAATCAAACTCTCATCTTGACATTCGCTTTAATCTGAATATGAAAACGAAGTCGCCTAATTCAGAATCCGCAAAATTACAAGTTTTGCTTAAGCAGGTACAATCTCTTCCAGCAACTCCTCACGGCGAATCCGTTAACTTTAAGAATGAAATTTTTTCAACTCTTTACAAAGTTAAATCCAAAATAGATCAGTTAAAATATGAAATAGAATTGGTTCAGGATAGTAACAAACCACAATCCTTTAAAGATTCAGTGATCAAGAGTAAAAAACTTCAGATTGACGTTCTCCAGTCATCTACAAACAGATTCCACCAATTCTCACAAGCAAAATCACAACTCAAATGATTTCACGTACTAATTTTGTTTTATCTTATTTTTTGTTCTGTTTATATAAATCTATCTATGCTAATTAATTCCAACACATTTTCGACTATTTGAATAACATACCAATTCGGTTAATTTTTGTGAAATGAGATTTTATTCAATATTGAAAAGATTCTATTCTATCTTGTTACAGACAAATTGAAATACATCACTAATGTGAATCTCATCTGGGGTGAAATTGAATCTAAGAGTCTTTCAAACTCGTAATTGATGTTCTTTTAGGGAAAGAAATACAGAATTTAGAGATAATAATGGAACTATAACGTGTTTGATACGTTCAGATAAAACCACTTTTTTAATGTCAAGTTTGAAGTAGCGTAGATTCAATTTGATTGCTGACTATTTTTGAAAAGCAGGTTGTTCAACGGAAATCTGAAAACCAATTGTTTTCGCACACTCATTCCAAGTCATAGAATTTTGACCAATAGCATGATTTGACAAATTTAGCCGTTTGAAAGGGAATGCCGCCTAAGGCATCCAAAAGTCACTCTTCGAGAAAATCAACTCCAGTGACATCCTCAGACGATGACGCATTAGCAAATAATTATGCTCCTTCATCAGCCACATCAAGAATTAAAAAAAGAAGGAGATCATCAAGATCTCCATCGCATTCAGTTGCAAACAGCGCACCAGTTACTGTTGACAGTATTCTAACACCAAAAAAGTCATCTTCTCGTTTAAAATCGTCGAAAAAATCTGCGAAAACTGCAGCCAATACAATAGAACCAGAAACGAAAGAGGAGAAGGAAGAAACAAAACCAACAAAAAAGAAAACTCAAAAAATTATTGTGAAAAAGAAAGGTAAAATTACAAATGAAGATATCCCCATACCAACTGATGGTAAAATCAAAAATATCACTACAAAAACAGCAACAAAGAACGGAAAGAAAGTTATTCAAAAAACTATTGTAATTAAAAAATCAAAAAAGAAACCAACGAAACCTGTTGAGCCAGAGCCAGAACCAGAGCCCATAATTATCAAGAAAAAGGTCAAAAGGAAACGACCAGCTAAGAAAATCATACATAAAAAAGTTATTATTAAGAAAGTTGCTTCTAAAAAGAAGGCACCAAAGAAAGAAGAAGTTCCTGAGCCAGAGCCAGTTATAATTAAAAAGGTTAAAAAGGGAAAGAAGAAAGTTGTCAAAACTAAAAAGAATATTATTACTGTTGTAAAGACAAAATCGAAAGATATTACTAAGGAAGAACCAGAAACAACAGAATCAAAGACTCCTACGAAGAAACCTGCCAAAAAAGGCAAGAAAAAGACAATTAAAAAGACAATCAAGAAAGTTACCAAAAAAGCTCCGAAAACAACAGATCCATCACCAGCGCCAACACCTAAAAAGTCAAGGCGTGGCAAGAAGAAGAGGAGGAATACAGCGCCTGTCACTCTTGACTCAATTAAATCAACATCTTCTTCTAAACTCAGCCGTAAGAAAGGAAAGAAGGGTAAAAAGAAAGTGGCTAAAACAGTCGACTTTACAACGGACGAAGAAAACGATCTTGAGTTCATGGAACAAATATTAAATCGGCCAGCAAGAAGAAGACATACAAATCCTGTAGAAAAGGTTGTTGAAGAAGTTGTTCTCGAAGTGGGTGAAAATGGAGAAAATATTCCAGTTCTTAGACAAAAAACAGTTATTGATGAATATTATTCCGAAGATGAACTCGAATTGCACTATCAAGATATTGATGCCTCTAAATATGAGAACAGACCGATCCAAATCCTTCAAAACCAAGATCCAGACGATCAAAAAGTTGAAACTAAAATTAATGTTGCTTCAATCCTTGCAAAGATGAGCGATACCAAGCCAGCAGCTCCTCCACCAGAGATTATTGTTGATGACTCAAGAGTTCCTCAAAATCTGAAGTCAATGGTCGCTCTTTTAGACTTAACACCAGCTCCTCAAATTTCCCAATCTCCAGAATTGATTCCTGATGATGATGACGAACATTTGAAGATTAATATCAATCCAATAGAAGTCTGCTACTCATATCCATTCATGGCTGCAGACAACGCCCTAAAATGCGCAATAGAAGCAACAGAAAAAAAGAAAAACGTGGCTCAGTATTTACAGGAAATTCACGCGGATAATGTGACTGCTGTATTGACAATGAAAGCTGGAGCTGCAATTGCACAGGAACTAGTTCCTGCTCCAAGACTTGTTATTCCAAAATATACAAGATCTTTTGAAGTCAAAGGTGAATTTTAATAATTTTAATATTTTTTTTTTGTTATGTATATATAAAGAAATATATATTTGTTGTATTGTTATAAATGATGGAAGCAAACTTTAATTAACTATCAATATTAAAATATATCATATTAGCAGGCATTTTCTTAGAGGCTGATGTAATTCAAGCCATCTCTCGCTATGGACTGCTCCTTTGGAGAGTAGGAAATCTTTTATTTTATGATGTCCATAATCGCATATAGAGTCAAGAGCAGTTTTTCCATTGTTGTTTTTAATATTAATATCTGCCCCATTAGATATCAAAAGTTCTGTCATTTCTTTATTATCTTTCATTATTGCAAAATAAACAGGAGTTATTCCCTTATCATTTTTTTGATTTACATCTGCGCCGTGCGAAATGAGAAGTCTTACCATATCCTTATTATCCATTAAAACAGCTTCATGTATTGGATAAAAATCAGGTCGATTTTTCACATTAATATTTGCACCATGTAAAATTAAAAGTTCAACAATTTCTGTACTCTGCCTACGAACTGCCGCATGAATTGGATAAAAGTCAAATTCATTTTTCGCATTAATATCCACGCCATGTGCAATTAGCAATTTAATAATATCAATACTACTGTGTCCAACCGCGAATAAAAAAGGTGTTTCACCAAACGTGTTTTTAGCATTGATATCTATTCCAAGCGAAATAAGTAAATTAACAAGTTCTAACCTATTGGACCCTAATGCATTCAAGAGGGCCGAACGAGCTTCATCCTTTGAACGAAAATCAACACCTTGCGAAAGAAGATATTCGCATAGCGATTGAATTTGGAAAAGTGGAGAATAAATAAAGCAAGTGTTAATGTCATTTGTTTGATCTAAGTATACTAAAAATGCACGAAGATTTTTATAGTATGCACATATTGATATTCTAATTTCAATTTCAAATTCATTTCGCAGATATGTGACAAAATCGATATTATGTGACATGATTGCATTTACCATGCAATGCCTGTTTGGTCTGATAACTTTTAAGCATTCACTGATAATATCTGGATTTCCTCCCAAAAACGCGAGTTCAAGAGATTCTATTCTAATTTGTGAGTTGTATTTAGTTCTTAAAAGTTTGAAACAGTGAACAGAACCATAAAAGCAGCAAACATCAAGATAAGTCAAAATACTTTCATAGTAAGCAGGATAAACACTAGGAACCATGAATATTTCATCATGAAAATCTTCACTTTCAATGAGTGAAATGAATGTACATTTGTCATCATTCATAATAACTTTCAATATTGGTTTTTCTTGGAAAATTGCTTCCAGTTGATCTTTATAATAAAGTAAATCTTTATTGTCTTGATGGAATTCTTCAATTATCAAATGGGCAAGATCTAAATAAGAATTCATGTAGCGGTGATTAATACATGCAGCCTGTGTTATTGCATTTATTATACGATCTGGAGTGCAAATTTTTGTATTGATCAGGTTATTTTTGACATTATTGTACAATTTTTCGATTTCTTCTTTATCGGATGTCTTGAGCTTATATATTTCATCGAATATATCGCAATAGACCCCGTATAGCTTCATCAGATTGAGGTAATGCTCCTTCTTAGTCTCCATAATAAAATGACAAACTTCTTTCGGAAAATCCTGATTCAAGCAAGCATTAGAAAATTGATAATTCTTATGTTTACATAAAAATTCCGAATTTTTCAAAAATGCTATTTAAATCAAATATGATGCCATGGTGATGATTGTGTTGTAAACAGAAATTCATCAAAAGTGACACCTCAGAAAAGCTAAAATATTGAATTTTTGGAACTTTTGATAGAGCACGTTTTTAAATATTAATTAAAGTAAATGTATATTTTGTAAAGATTCTTTTTAATAAAAAATAAAATTTTGAAGAAGAACACAAAATCTTCTGAAAAATAATATCACATAAACTCATATTATTTTCTAATATATAACTATTTTATATAAAAATCAAATTCAATGATCTTAAAAGCGAAGGATAAACCTCAAAATTTACGAATATAATGAGTGGGAATATAATGCTTATCTATCATAAAACCATATGAGATATCAATTTTTGCTTTACGCCTAATTTTTGACGACAATTAGCAAAAAATGTTAAATGTTAACACTCAGTCCATTTGAATATGAAAAATAAAATTGACTTTGATTAAATGTTTTTATTTATCATGCAATTCTTCTTGCGACCAAAGATTTGAATAAAAGTTCAAAAAATAAGATAGCTTAAAAAATAATATACGGTAGTGTTTACTAATAGATGAATAGTATATAAATTCTATTAAAATGGATTTGATCCAAAAAAATATAAAACCAAAAATAATTGTTATAATTTAAATGAAGAAGTAATTTAAAACGATTTTATTATGATCAAATTTTATATATATTTTTGGATCAAATCCATTTTAATAGAATTTATATACTATTCAATGAATAGTATATAAATTCTATTAAAATGGATTTGATCCAAAAATATATATAAAATTTGATCATAAATAAAATCGTTTTAAATTACTTCTTCATTTAAATTATAACAATTATTTTTGGTTTTATATTTTTTTTGGATCAAATCCATTTTAATAGAATTTATATACTATTCATCTATTAGTAAACACTACCGTATATTATTTTTTAAGCTATCTTATTTTTTGAACTTTTATTCAAATCTTTGGTCGCAAGAAGAATTGCATGATAAATAAAAACATTTAATCAAAGTCAATTTTATTTTTCATATTCAAATGGACTGAGTGTTAACATTTAACATTTTTTGCTAATTGTCGTCAAAAATTAGGCGTAAAGCAAAAATTGATATCTCATATGGTTTTATGATAGATAAGCATTATATTCCCACTCATTATATTCGTAAATTTTGAGGTTTATCCTTCGCTTTTAAGATCATTGAATTTGATTTTTATATAAAATAGTTATATATTAGAAAATAATATGAGTTTATGTGATATTATTTTTCAGAAGATTTTGTGTTCTTCTTCAAAATTTTATTTTTTATTAAAAAGAATCTTTACAAAATATACATTTACTTTAATTAATATTTAAAAACGTGCTCTATCAAAAGTTCCAAAAATTCAATATTTTAGCTTTTCTGAGGTGTCACTTTTGATGAATTTCTGTTTACAACATTTTCCCCACATACAAAATGGAAAATGATTGAAATCAATTTGATTAATTACAATGGAAATAATAGCGTATCTTCCTTGAATTAAAACGATTAATGCTATGTGAATGATCAATATACAATGGTTAGATGAAAAATTTGACAATTTTAGTTTATTTTTCATTTTCATGGATTCTGGGGAAGATTCAACTAAAAATATTAACATAGAATCATCTGTTTCCGAAATTCTAACAACGAACGAAATTTCAAACATTAATTCCCACATTTTAATCGATTATGTCAATTCATTATTTCGTAGGAAAAACTCAAATGAAACAATTTTAAAAAATATTGAAACGGTTGTAGGTGAAACTGCTTCTGAAGAAATATTTAAGATTTTTGAACAAAAATATGAAAATCAAAATCCCGAAAACGCCAATGATTCCATTCTAGATGATACATTAAAGAGAAGAAAACCAAAGCCAGGCTGGTCCACCCAAATTGTCTATGTTACTCCAGAAGGAATTACAGATCAATTAAAAGAAGACATACTTGCCGAAATTCTTAGTTCAACAAATGGAACTCTTGTGAGCAAAGAGAGATTTATTGTATTTGTTGCTGGATTAGAATCGTCTTTCAATTCAATTTCTCGAATTTACAAAGTTTTTAAACTCTTTGGCAGAATATGCGCTATAGAAGAGGACAAAGAAAATAATGTTGCATTCATTGAATACGCAAAATTAGTCGATGCTTATCATGCTGTCAAAAAAGCCCAAAAACTGCTTGGAAATAAGTGCCTTAGAGTTGAGTTTGCTAAACCTCCAAACCCTGATGCAATTCATGCAATCGAGCAAGAAATTGAGAAAAATAGGGGCATTTGGCAGCAAAATCAAGAATCTGAGATTCATAAAGATGATAATACATTAAAGAAGAATATAAATATAAAAGGCATTCTAGTAGATGAAATGAAAGATATTTTGAAGAGAAAAATGAAAAATTTCTTGGCAGCACTTAAATATAACGATGATATCACTCCGAAATTGCTTACTGATATACAAGACTTAGATAAACTGATCAAAGAAAATGAAAAATCAGCAAATCCAAATTAATTACTTTAACGTTGATTTTTGTGTTTTATTTGTTTGTAAACTATATTTATATTTCAATAACTATTTGAATAAAAGTCATTTCTAGTTTAAATTCTAAATGAATTCCTAAATCAATTAATTTCAATCCAAGTTGATTGGAGAATGGGACAAGAGGCTAATAAATAAGCTACTGATCATTAGCAGATCAATCTCAATCCTGAAGGATTTCGGAAAAAGTCGGTATTTTATATCTTTTGGAAAGTTCTGAAGTGATTGATAAAGCAGAGGATGCAAATTCTCCTCTTATATTGAAAGATGAAGAAATAAATGCTAACACAGAAGATCTTGCAAGCATTGATGATGGACATAGTGAATGTACTACAGCTCTTAGATACGTTTTTACATCTGCTTTCGTTTTAGCAGTAATTTACGTTTTTGTCGAACTTTTTCGATGAAGTTGCAACCGATTTTATATTACCTTACCGTTCACTCACTTATTCTTACAAATTATGAATCAACTTTTTTACATTTTCTTATAATCGATAATTTGATCTATTTACGATCCTCAAAATCATCGAATTTAATTACCACATAACTGATGTAGCAATTTCTTAGATACTTTTTATTCATTGACAATTTTTTTTTTAAAGTTGTCTATTTGGACCTAGAAAATAGGCCTTAAATTCCTGGGCGATAAATATTATTATTGTATATCTACTAGAGAAAAATAAACATTTAATTATTTTATATCTTAAATTCTGGCTGATTTGAAATCAGATCTTTTGGTGCTTTCTTGTCTTGGTTAAGAGGATATTCCATACTTAATCCAGCAACGTCCTTTAACCATTTAATCAATTCAACACGGTTTTCATAGCATGCTAAGTGCATTGGAGTGTTTCCTTCTGCATCAGCATCCTTGAAAGGTGCATCGTTGTTGTAAAGCATCTGTAAGAACTCCGGCGTGCACTTTGGATTGACGATTGCTCTGTGAATGCAATTTGAGCCATACTTATCTGGCTTGTAGTTAGTGTAGTCGTGAATTATAAATAAATCTGTCATTGGAGAGTTGCATCTTGAAACAGCATAGAAAAATGCATCTCTTCCTTGTTTAGTTTTGAGGGCAGGATTAGCTCCAGCTTCTAGTAATGCAGCAACAACTTGGACAAATTCACATGATGCTGCTGAAATCATCGGAGTCCAACCCATATCATCTGCTTTATCGGGATTATCGCCGTTTTCAAGACATTCTTGGACTGCGCGGACATCTCCACGAGTTGCAGCCCAGTGGAGATGAGTGCGTTCATCAGTTTCGACATTTGGTTGCTCTTTCTTTTGCATATTTTGTGAAAAAATTTTGTTTGAACAACTAATTTCAATAGAGAAAGAAATCACCAGGAGCATGAACAAAAAGCAATTATCCAAAGAAAAATAAAGGAAATAAAGCAAGTTCTTATATTGTTTTACTCTTAAGATTTCTAGATGAATTATTAATGTAAGCTCATTTGGCCGAGCGGTCTAAGGCGCTAGTTTTAGGCACTAGTCCGAAAGGGCGTGGGTTCGAACCCCACAGTGAGCATTACTTTTTCATTTTTTTTGAAAAATAATGTAAACTTTTTTTTCCAAAAAACTGGATGGATGTAACTCAATATAAATCAGATTTTGTGAAATATATTGATGAATTTTTCAACTCAGATGAATCCAAAAACTCATCAATTAAAGAACTGAAGAGCAAAAAGCAAGATTTATTTTATTATCAGTCAAAAAAACTTGCAAAATCAGATAAACGTAATGCAGAAATGATACGCAACAAAAGAGTCCTCCTAAGCAATTATATTTCAGCAAGTACTGAAAAATTAACTCCTCAGGATGAATATTATCAAACTCGCGTTGAAAGAGAAATACTTTTAGGTCAAATATTTGGAGAAGAAAAGGAAAAAATTAAATCCGCTAAGCAAGATTATCAAGCACAAAGAAAAGTTATGGCTGATAAAATTGAAGTATTAAAATTACAATATAATACATTGGTTTCAGATAACAAGCGAATTGAAGCTGAGCTGCAACATTATCATCGCGTAAAAAGCGAATTTGACGTTTTCAAAACCAACAAAAAGCTTACGGAAGAGGAAAAGCAGAAAAGGAATTGACTTGCAAAAATGCATCCTAGTCATATAATTCTTCTTTCCTGTTTTTTAAAGAAATACAAAATGAAAATTACATTTCCTTCTAATGGCTTCGACAAGACGCGGATTACATTACATATGTATACATATCGTTATTTTTCTGATTGTTATGATTGTAATCTTCAGCTTTTTATTCAGAATTTTTGAGACTCTACAATTTATGGAATTTCTGGCATTTTTAAGATGCTCATATCGTTTTTATTAATAATTTTGTTTGTTTTTATAAAGAATATTTTTTATTTTTTTGAATTGAGCTCGCATAGATATTTAGAGAATAGTTGATATCTTGATGTATTGTACAGGGCATGATGTATAAATATATTAAGATTATTTAGTTAAACATTGTCATCTACTTTTGATATATTGGAGATTTCTAATATGTTTATAGATTTTTGGTTTTTTAGTCAGAGTTCCTCATGCAAATGGATTTTACATGAGAAATATGAATACATTTCAATTTTTGATTTTCAATCATCTCATATCTCGACTTTGGCCCTGGGTATTTCCATAAGATTCCATATATTATTAGAGTATATGATGTTATTAATTTGTGCAAATTTGCAGGAAAAGTTATGCAAATTTGGTCAACTTTACTTCACAACAAGAAAACACATCACGCCTGTAATTCCCAAAAAAGTTTTTCTTGCTTAAGTTTCGAACGTTCGTATTGTAATAAGTTTTATTTTGTTCGGGCAGACTATTGCATGTATCATTTCAATAAAAGTTAAAATGATTTCGAATTATCTTCATGTTTTTTCTTCAAAACGTGAAAAACAAACAATAATATATATTTATTTTGATCTTTAAAATACTTATCTGATAATCCATAAAGCTGAATTTCAATAGATTGTCACTTAGGACTGTTTAAAATACCTCATCATTTTTGAAAATTTAAGGTTATAGTGTGTCAGTACCGTTGTTTTTATGATTTCAAGCAAGTTTCTAGAAGGTTGAAATGAAGTCATTCTGAAAAAAAAATTTTAGTCCTCTTTCATATGAATCTTCTTATAACCATTGCCCGAACTGCGAAAACAAGAGCTAAAGAAAGAATAAATGGCATATGGAATTACTTGGATACAATTTAAAGGTTGGTAATCTTCTGTGAAATAAACTTTTGGGAATGTGGCGTCCAAGTCAATTTTTGTATATATCCGGCTAACGAATTTAGTATCTTGATACTCTTCACCTACTAGATAAATATTTTCTGGACTCATATCAGTTAAAAACGAAGGCGAGTAGACATAAAATATTTTCCGATAAACCTTTCCATATTTATAGAGTAAAGCAATTTTGACATCACAGTCAAGAATATGTAAAATTTTTCCTATTCTCAGATTTGGATACAATTTTTTGATTTTCATGTCAGCAGGAGCTTGACCATTTTTGTCGTCAAATAGTTGAAAGATTTGTTCATACGTGCTGATGCTTTCAATTTCAACTAAAACAACTTGATGAACAACTCGCTTAATTTCATGATCGAAACCAGGAAATAGAATGAATATACTGGACATATGTTCTGGATTTAAGCTGACTAAGTAAGGAAACTTTGGAACTATAAAATTACTTGGGTCCTGCAATCGATCTTTTGTTCTTTCATCTGATTTAGCAAACTGATACGCTTTATTTATAATATCTGGATTTTTAAGAAACCTATCTGAGTCGTATTCTTGATATATACTAATATCACTTTTCTTTAACTCATTAAGTAATTTTTCTTGTTCAATTTTCTTAAGCTCTTTAAGTAATTTGTCTTGATCAATTTTCTTAAGCTCATTAAGTAATTTGTCTTGATCACTTGACATGAAAAATTTTGATATGTCACTTTTTATAAAATAACTTAAAAAATTATTTGCAATTTGGACGGAGCTTGCCTACGATTTTAACCATGTGTTGTTGAAACCATATATGAATCTTAGCTAAAGTATAGTTTATAAGTTTGTCACCATCTAACGTATGAATTTTCAAATAGTTTAGTCGGTTTTTGCATTTTTAAAATGTTAGTCACCTTTCTCCTTCCAAAGTGAAAAAAAATTGTTTAAAATATAAAAAGAATTTTTATTCGCATAGGCGACAAACAAGGATTTATAAATAAATAATGGGGCTTTGAGTATTGATCTGAATTGAATCAGATAATTAGCCGTAAAAAATCTTCTAATAACGATTTCTCATGCATGAAAGATGGCTATGAGTGGCGTTAATGAGGGCGTTTGATAATTGGAGTTGGACATAAAATTTGGAGATCTTAATTTTTGAGAATTTTGGTGCGATCTTACTGGTACAAGCAAGAGTATGGAAGGAGATTGAACTGAGAAAAAACTAGAGCATGCAAAAGAATCATGCTACAGCTTAGTTGAATGTCATTTATGCAAATAAAAATATCTTTTTCAAATTTCAAACAAATTTTTGCCACTTTTTGAAAGAAGATAAGGTAACAAACATTTTAAAATGCAAAACCTAGACTTAAACTATGCCGAATGTGAGCTCACCGTTACGGTTTTTTCTTTGGGGGCTCGCAAGCTCGCCCCCAAAGAAAAAACCGTAACGGTGACTAACATTTAGGAAAAATGTCAAATATGTTCATTTTTTCTGTATATTCAGCCATAATTTCACGTAGTTATACTATTCAACTATTATTTAATATTTTTATCGATTTAAGGGTACACCCATATGTACGTTTATTTGAGAGGAGGAGGATTACCCTCTCAATTTTGAGGGATTCGTTAGTTTATTTTCTCGATGAATATGCAATAAAATTTGATTTTTACCTTATCAATATACTTCATATAATATACACATTTATGGCAGTCCCAACGGGAACCGCGGTAATTTACCGAGGTTTCCGCACACCGGTTCCTTTTTTTAGGAATTTTTTAGATTAAAAAATATGCTTTGTAAATCATTTTTTGTAAATCGGCAAAAATTTGGAAATATTCTGACGACAATAAATCTGGGAATAGTATTTTAAATACGAGAACAACCTATTTAAAAGTGTTTCGCTCGATTTTGTATAATTTCAAATTTTCGCATATAGCTTTCCGTGAATTACCGTGATTTTACCGCCACATCAATAGTTTACGACACTTTTTCCGTAAATTGAGTAGTTTACTGCACTTTTTCCGTAAAATTGAGTTAGGGAATCCGTAAAATTACCGTACCTCACTTCTAGTTGAAAATAGCATTAGTATATAATAAATAGATATATTATTCATATTTTTGATTTTGAATTACGGAAAAAGTGAGTTCAGAACTTCCAATTATTATTTGATTAATTATGTTAAAAATACTATAAGGAATTAAAATACATAATGTTGAAATTTGAATTACGGAAAAAGTGAGGGTGAAAGTGAAGTGAAAAAGTAAGATATTTTTTGTTGAAATAATCATAGTTGTACAATTTTGAAACTATATGTAAAGCTATAAATTGAATAAATTCAAAAACAAAAATTGTTTATTCTTATTAATAAATTTATATTAAGGGTGCACACGAGAGGATCATGTAAACTTCAGAATTTAGAACCTTATTTTTGGGCATTATCTTGGCTACCTATTTAGGCTCGAAAAGCAAAAAATATCAAAAAATACAACTTTACTCCATTATGACCCTTTCATGGAGGTAGTTTTTATCCGCTAGTATTTTCCCTTTGAATCTCTTTACAATTCGAAATCAAATTCAAATCTCAGTAGAAGAAAGGAAGAATCGACTTACTACGGTTGTAATACGAATAAATACATATATTTAATTATTTTTATTTACATAATAATTGTTTGAAGCTCATATTCCATCAAATTTTTAAATAAAAACATTAAAATGTTGAAAATGTTCATATATTTTAATAGGGTTTTGGCACTTTATTGAGGAATTACTACATACATAGTCGAACTGAACTTGATATTTTGAAATTTAAATTATTTATCAAAATTAAAATTTAACTTGAAATTTATAATTATTTAGTCATATTTTGCATAATTCTGTTACATATTAAGTTCTGTCAAAATGTAAGCTATTGAATTTTTTGAGAGGGAAATAATCGTCGAGGAAGTAAAAAGTGACGCTTTAGGAAATATTATTAGAAATATGATAATAAATATATTTGGAAAAATATGTTTTTTTTCAAAAATTGAAATGTTCATAGAATATTTTGAAATATGTAGGGAATTGAATTCGGTAATATATGATAAACAGGATTTTTAAATTTCAAGGAAAAATAGCTTTTGTGAATACTTTTGAGAACTCTTCTCAAAGATCATGATTCAAATATATTAAGAGCCAAAATATTAGAGATGAGTTCACAATCAAAATTTTACATTTTAATTATTTAGAAAAACGTATTAACCTCAATAAAAAAATATCTCAAAGATTAATAGTTAATTTAGGGTTTCCTAGCTATCTAGAGGGAATTGTTCCTTATGATGTATATATTTATAATGTATGCATCATAAGGAACAATTCCCTCGCTGAAGTGAGAAAACTTGTTCGCAATTTTCATTTCGAACAAGTTTTCTCGTTTTTAATAAACTAAAGGCTATGAGGCACTGATTATATATTAGTGCCTCATAGCCTTTAGTTCCCAGTAGATAGCTGGGAAACTTTCTCCAAATGATAAGTTATTTAGAGAAAGTTTCCCAGCTATCTAGAGGGAATTGTTCCTTATGATGTATATATTTATAATGTATGCATCATAAGGAACAATTCCCTCGCTGAAGTGAGAAAACTTGTTCGCAATCATTTCGCATTGCGAACAAGTTTTCTCACTTTTAGTAGGGAACTAAAGGCTATGAGGCACTGATTATATATTAGTGCCTCATAGCCTTTAGTTCCCTGTAGAAAAGATCGAAATTTTATTCTGATTTTAACTGATCTATATTTCGCTTGCGTTATTTGAATCTTTTCTTTTGCATATGTCATTCCTTTCACTTTTCGAATTTCATTTGCCTGCATGCTCTCTCGTTTTGGTTGAAAATCAACTCAATCTTAAAATGAACTTCTTCATTCTTTACAATAAATTCAATTTTTTTCGAGATATATCTTTATCTACCCCTATGTGAGCTGCATATTCTTTCTCGCTAAATTCTTTTGATTCTTCAGAGCTAAAAATCAAGTTTAATAAAAATAATGTTTATTCATAATTTTGAAAACCAAATTCAAATTTGAATGAGAATTTTTGAAAAAAATATAGAATATTTCAATAGTTTGGAATCTCTTCAACTTCCCACTGCTTATTAACACATTTTTTCCAGAGCGGTTTATCTTCCTTGGTCCATTTCTTAAATTTGTTGTAAACCTCTCTTGGAGTGTATGGTCGAACTCCAATTTTTGGATGAGCGCCATGTGGCATGTCATTGTATTTTTGCCTGAATTCTTCCAATTCCTGATTGATGCTCTCAAATTCTGAAGGCTTTGGAGCATTTTTGTCCAGTGATGGCCAGAGGCGTTCAATTTTGCCATTTTGACGTGGCATGTATGGAGCTGATTTTCTGATTTGAATGTCATAAGTACCGTACCTTGAATAACCGGCGAACCATTCAATTGGTCATAGACCAATTTGAGATACCCTTTTCAGAGGAATCTAAAATGTTGTTTATATGGTTATTTATATATTATTTAATCATTTTCTTAAATAAAAATCATAAGTTCTCAATTTTTCTTCATAACGATTCTTATAAATTTTAATGTTTTTACTATGAGTGCTAAATATTATTAATTACTAAATGATTTTAAAAAGAAAAACATGTTTTTACTTTGTACGTTAACATACGTTAATATCACTTCGGCTATGGATAGAGGCCAACAGCGCCTTATTAATGAGAAAAACATTAGCCTCTTATCAATGAGATGGAAGTGTATTCGTGGATTACAATTGTGAATTCAGATACACTTCCATCTCAAAAAATGCAATCAAATTTGTATTGAATTGCATTTTTTGAATACATGCTATTGGCAGTTGGGTTTTTAGTGCATTTATATTATATTGGTACTAAGGCTTTTGGAAAATTAAAAAAAAAAAAAAAAAAAAAAAAGGTAGTGGGGCCTCCAGGCACTTCGTGCCCTCTAGCCCTGAAGATGTTTAGTATAACTTTGTCCGGACAAGTAAGGGTCTATCGTCGCTACAGGAAAAGTTACAGGCGTTCCAAGGAAGTATACTTTGAGAAGCCTTTTTCCCCTTATAGAATGAGATAGGACGGTTATTTTACAAAACTGACAACACTTTGACCGAGTAGTTTTTTTGTGCTGAACAAAAAGTGTCATATAAACATCTGTCAAAAACCGTTTTTTACTTCACTTAAAATGCCACGTAAGCTACGTAAGAATATACGTAAGAGGAAGAGAGCATTGAAACATCCAATAGTAAAACTGACACCACAACAACAGTTGCAACAACAAATGATGAATGACCCCACTATGTTGCAACAAATGTCAAGCAACCCTATGCTTTTAAACCGAGTTATTGGTGCACAGAGTGGAGGTTTAAGAGCGGCACTTTTAGCGAAAATGGCAGGCTATGGTGGAGCTGCAGACGGAACAGCTTATAACCCTCAAAGTCAAATGAATTTGAGTTCACTCAAAAATCAAATAACAGATGTCAAAAAGTCAAACATAGACATACAGAAACAAATAAGTGAAAACGAAAAGAAACTAGAATATGACAGACACACAAAGAAACTCAATGAGTTAAACGTAGAGAAAAAGAAGAAAGAAGAACAACTGAAAGAACTAAGTACAGAGGAATATGCGAAAAAAGTGTCAGAAAAAGCAGCAGAAGTAGCAAAAATGGAACAAGATGTTATAAATTTGAAAAACCATACTACTCAATATAAAGTACTGAAAGATGAAGAGATAAAACAAAAAGCCCTGAAGACATATATGGATAGCGATGAGTATAAAAAAGAAGTTGAAGCAAATGTAAAGGCAGAAAAACTTTTACAGTTGCAAAACCAAAACCGTACAGTATGAAAACTTAGCACAAGAAAGTAAAAATAACGACGCAGCCATGCAAAAGGCAATGAAAAGCGCAGAATATATAAAAGCTAATAATGACTGGTTAGATGCCCAAGCCAACGCTAAAGCAGCCCAACTTATAGGGTCAATAAGGACAAAAATACAAGCGGATGAAGACAGTTCAAATGAAGCTTTAATGAATGCTGACTTTAAGAACGCCTTCGAAGCTCTTCATAGTAAGGTGAAACTAGTGAACGACTTCTCATCTGGAAAGAAACTGAAGTCTGAAGGTTTCGACAAAGAGTTAAGAGAAGTAGCACAAAATATGACGAAAATAACAGATGCAGCAACGAGACAGGCAGTTCAAAGTGCCTATGACGCCGTTAGAGCAACTGTTGTGGAAAGTCAAGAAAAAGAGTTACAACAGACCAAAACAGACCTAGTAAATGCTTTCTTAAAAACGAAAAGTCAGGTAGGACATTATGCTGCAGATGGAACATATGTGCCAGCTGGTGGAACTTATATACCAGCTGGTGGAACTTATATACTAGCTAGTGGAACTTATATACCACCAAACCCTCCAAGAGAAGCACCTGCACCAGGACTACCTAAAACATTTACATCGTCACATGGACACAGACACAGGCATGCACCAAAACCAACAGTTCAAAATCCAGCACAGCAACCAACAGTTCAAAATCCAGCACCACAACCAACAGTTCAAAACACTGCACAGCAACCAACAGTTCAAAACCCTGCACAGCAACCAACAGTTCAAAACACTGCACCACAACCAACAGTTCAAAACACTGCACCACAACCAACAGTTCAAAACACTGCACAGCAACAACCACAAACAGAGCAAGGACATAAAAGAAGTAGAGAACAAGGAAACCAAGAATTCTTAAAAATGCTTAAGGAAAATTATGGTTACCCAGATACTCTTGACTTTAGTGACAGATATAAAGAAGCTATTAGAAAGTTCAAGGAAGGAAATACTGACCCGAACCTATTTAGCTTTATGGTTCAGCACCAAATGGGATATAATTTCAAACCTGGAAAATACAAGCTCGCTAAGGGATATGATTTAATAGCATATCATCCAAATGACATGACTGAATTTACTCCGAGATATTTGGTGTCAGAGCTAAATGATAATTCAACTCTCTTCATGAAACGCGTAAAAAAATAGAGACGGAACGAAAGAAGAAAGGTTTATGAGTCCGGATGACTTAGATAGGGAACTTGTTAAAAACGGTCTCGGAATATATGAAATGCCAGCAGATGAGGTACAAGAAACTCAACAGGAAGAAGTTCAGATACAACCAGACATGGAAGAAATAGTTCAGCAACAACAGCTAGAAGAGCCTGAAGGAAACAAACAAGTCCCTCCTTTGGAAACTAACTTCACAGAACTAGATGAAGATTTGGAACAGCCGAAAAATCTTGACCCTCAACAAGAGTATGCGGGGAATATGGAATCTTTCCAAGAGTCTAAGAAAAATTCGGCTGACATAGTAGAAGAATATCGAAAAATGTTCGCCGACATACAAAAGACTCCAACATCAGATGAAAATATTCAGCATAGAATGGAAGTACTGAAAGAAATGTACGCAAATACAATAATCCTTTTTACTTACGACCATATAACGTTCAATCTTTGGCTGAACTCGGTGAAAATAAAAGGTTAAATTTCAACAAAACATATAGAAATGAAACATTGTTTAAAGTTCATTCAGAACCTAACCAATATGGAAACAAACCTACTTTTGTTTCTGCAGACTATGGAACTACAATGAGATGGGGTCATAAAGCTAATCCGGATAGGTGGTTCATAAACTTACAACCACAATTCCAAGAAGTTGTAGACGCAATGGAAGTGAATGGTGAACCAGATATAGCTGGTATTTTCAGCGCGGCTTTAATGCCATTGAAAGATATGAAAGATGCAGATATTTTGAACCAGTATGAAATGAACATGGCTGATGGAAATATAACACCTGACGTTCTAAAACATTTATCTCAAAGAACTACACAGAACCATAGAGATGGTATATTTGGTGAAGAGTTTAGAAAGAAAGTTAGGGAGAGAGAAGGAAGAGAACCTATTGTACATGACCTTGCAAACGAAAGTTTACAAAATGTCATAAAAACTTACTTTGCAGACAATGAACCGAGAAGGGAGGAATATTTAAGAAAACTCAAATGGACAGTACCAAATGAAATGTTAGTATTGAAAAACATGTTCCTTGACAAAATAAAACCAACTACAGAAATAAATGACGCAAGACTGAAACATTGGGTAAAAGCTTTCCCATTCACAAAAGATATTGTTGGTAACATGGAAAGAAAACCAGAATGGCTACAAAAACATATATTTGGAAACGAGCATATTCCATATGGACAAGCTCTGTTTGAAGAGCTTGAACCGGAAACTCAGGAAAGAGTCATGCAAACAATACGCGAAGACTCAAATACAAACTATGACAAAATCTTTCTAGGATATAGGTTACCTGAGATGGGCGACCAGAGCCCAAAGGCAAAAAGGACATGGGAAATTTACAACATACTAGGTGAACATGAGGCAAAGATGCAACAACTTGAAGCAGAGGGCAAGTTACCAAAAGCGACACCAAAGAAGAAGAGTAGAACAAAGTGAAAGTAGTGAAGAAGTAACTTCATCTAGTGAAAGTAGTGGCAATGAAGGAAAAAGAAGAGTTAAAAACTCAGTCAGGAAGAAAGTAAAGCTTGGTACGAAACAATTATGACAAATAAATCCAACTATTCTATATTTTTACCCATATGAAATGTACGCCGCTCAGATATAACGCCAACAGTTTTGGATGCCATGAACGGAAATGTTTCCGAATGGTATAACGAATGGACAATGCCATTAGAAGGTCAGAAATAGTTCCTGGAACTTACGAATATACAACTGCTGTTCTTATGGAAACGTAGGTGAGTTTGGAGAAGGTTCTTCAACAACAGTAGATATTGCTTGCGACAGGTTTCATATTATTTCTATTGACAACTCATTCTTATACGTGGAACAAGACATTGAAATAAAACCTTCTGCCAAGTTGTCTGACAAGAAAGGTTGCAATGGAATTTTCTATGTCGGATACCAATATGCTCCAGAAGTTTTCATGGGATATAAGATATATTTCTAACTCTGACTTAGTTCAAACAGTAACATGGGCAAACTATGAATGGTTCGCTTTGAGAAACTCAGTACAACCACAAGCTAGAGAACAAACAGACCAGTATGCAAATATTGAGAAAATAAGAAGACTTGACCCTAACGTTCCAGGAGTTTATGTTAACCTTTCTGGTTCAGATGGAACTGCTGCCACTAAAGTAAAACTGAAACTTAGAGTTCCTTTGTCATCTTTCCTCATCTTCAGGTTTTAAGATACTTGCCAAACTGGGCAGGAAAAATTTCTATTGAACTTACTCCAAGCAAAAATAACTTAGTCATTGCACCAACACAAGACCCATTCAGCATTACTGTAGCTGGAACTGGTGGAGCCAAGTTCTGTGACTTTTGCAAAGACAAAGTTGACTTAGACTTTGGTTTCTCAAACTTCAACAATGAAGTAAACTATTATTTCAATGCTGCTGGAACTGCTTGGGACCCAGTTAAGTTTACATGCGAAAAATTTGAATGCAAGAGAATAGAAAGCAGACTTGCAGTCTATATGTTGGACCCAGATATTTCAAATGCTTTAGCTGCCAAATATATTGCAGTTCCACTTATGTTCCCTATACACAAAATATCTGTCAAAGACTTTGCAGGTGAAGTTGGAAACCAAAGTGCTGACCCAGGTGCAAGAACAGATATTGCTTTAACAACTGCAATGAAACATTGGCAGATACTATGTTTGTACTGTTCAGACGAAACTATAAATGACTATTCTTGTTTCTACAACCCCGGTATTAAATATCATATAAACATAGATGGCAAATATTATCCAAGAGAAGAATATTCTACAGTTGAGGATATGAGGTCATAAACTTGACATTAGATGCTATGAACTTTAACAACAACTTCACAACAACCATAAACCCTGAAATGCAAAGTTCTATTATGCCATATGTGAAAGTATGGACTCATACAGGAGTCAAAAACTCAATATACAAATGGAGACGTTCAAACTTTTGGCTTGGCATCCATTTGCTGACTCAGAAGACTTTATGGGTGGTATTTCAACTGTTGGTACTGTACAAATACAATATACTGGTGACAGAGACGGTCCAGATGAACTGAGAGCAAAGAAGTTTACAAAACCAATTAGCACTTTTCACGGAAGATGCTCTTTTGAAGATTCGTTCGATGAAACCTGCTGGGGCTCCTCAGATTGCATAACGACAGCTTCATCGAGCAGATTTTGGCAGCAGGTCAGTAAGTTGTTCTTGAACTGACTTCTCTCCGTCAAATATTGACAGTACGCCAGTTTTGACATAATATTGTAAGATAAACTTACCTTTAGAAATATCTGTAAGTTTTGAAGTTATATTTTTGTCTGCTTCAAGAACTTTCACCATTTCAGTTATACCAACTTTCTTTGCTTTAGAAAATATTTAGGTTCAGCAAAGACTGCTATTCTATAACATTTACCATTGTTTGTATAAAGAACTATTCTGTCAATGTATTTGTATTGTTTGTGTGTGTAAACTTTGTTCTGCTTCAATTCGAAGAGATACTCGAATACGTCCATCTTTTTATTCTAAGTAAAATGTCATTTCCGAAAATAGAAGCGTGAGTGTTTCAAAAGGTTTAATGGCGGTGGCAGATGTGAAGTTAAATTCACCAACTCAAACAAACAGTCAAAGTGTTATTGTCAATGTCAAAGACAGAGATGTTGAAGTGGGGAAACCATACGAAGACGAAGATGGTATAACAATTGTTCCTGTAAAAAACCAACATATCCTGAAGTTAACAGAGACTTAAGTTCTGTTGCAGATATTCGAAATGACTACCAACAACTGAAAGACAAACTTCAAACTCAGGAGAAGATTTGTCAAGCTTTAAGTATAATGTTAAACTTGGTCGAACACAACCCTGTAAAAGTGAACTCATATGTCATTGCACCTCATGAAGTTTTGAAAGAACTATTGAAACTTTTGACAGAGGCAGACGATATAAACATCAAAGAAATAGAACCCGACATTAGTTGCTGTGGTGTTTCATATAATGTCATTGACAAGATATACGTTATGAAAGGAGGTGAAACGTTGAACTTAAAGTATAGTTTCCCAGACGTCATAAAAATATTTGACGACCACAACATTTCATTAAAATTTATTTGCTAAGTAAAAATGTCAAAACTTCTTGAAAGATGTTTGAAGAAAAATAATATAGACTTTATTTCATGTAAAGGACTTTACACACTTTTGAACGATATGAAAGACCCTGTTTGTTTGTTCGTGTAGACAAAGGAAAGTTCTATGTCTTTACAAAATATTTGAACTTCTTAGACAGAGAACTTCAAGAAACGCCATGTGAAAGTTTAGATGAAGTTCTTCTCCACTTTCAGAAAAACTTTTAAATATATATAAATGGCAGAAGATATAATGGTTTATACTATTACGACTAAAAACCCTGAGTCATATAATTCTATAACAACAAACTTACAAAGTCCTCAAGGACGGTATTGTAAACTAACTTTAAACACAATGACGACTAAAGCCTGTTTTGCTCTTTTGACACCAGAAGACTTTATTGTTGTGAATGGTAAAAAATACTCCTTTGAAGATACTTACTCAGATATACCACCAACAGTTTTGTTGACTTATTTAATACTTTAAGTACGGTGTAACATGTGCTGCAACTAGAGCAGGTTTCATTATGTTTGGATGTCCGACTGAGTTTACTATAAACAATATGAGCTATATATACAAAACTTATATCTGGTTTTTACTACCAACAGTTTCCTATAACAGGAAAAGGTGTCATACAAGGATGTCTATTCCATTGACATTAAGCACACCAATCTTATATATTGTTTCAAACTTAGGTTCAAAGTGTTATTCGAATGTCGACAGAAACTATTATGACCAAAAGATACTTATGCGTATAAACAATACTTTCTCTGCTGGTTGCCTATTGTTCATTCGAATGCAGAATTTTCAACCTTAGTGAACTCAAACACTTTGGCAAGTATAACGTTGACATTAGTTGACGCAAACTTGTTCCTGTAAAACTTTTATGTCCTATGTATTTGTCAATGACGGCAGAAAGTTTCGAATTGGAAGATGCAACCGGTGAAAGTATTGTATTACAAGAACAACTTCAACAACAAATAGCTCAAGAACAACAAATGCAACAAATGCAACAACAAAGTCAAGAATAAAAAAAAATATTTTTTTTATTTTTATAAAAATGTACAGAATAGATGTTTCAGATTTTTATGACTTCCAAGCATTCAGAAATATGTGTCCATTTCGAGACTATAACAAAGCAGTCGAGAATTTGAAACGTTTAGTCATTTATGTTGACTCTGCCCCAGAATGTTATGTTATGAAAGAATGGGATGTAGTCTTTAACAAACCTAAAGCGACAATAGTTTCAGAACAAGAATGTAGACAGAAACTTAAGAAAATAAAAGTTGTACAAGTTGGCATGAAGATGTTAGATGCTTGGGATATCTTATTGTCAAAGTTAGAAGATTTTTCAGTTCGAGGTATAAAGTTTTATACACCTTCTCCAAACTTCTATTCTATCTTCACTGGATATAAATATGAACAAGTAGAATGGAAACACAGTATTATAGAAGCTTGGTTAGACCATGTCAAAGAAATTATATGCAATGGAAACGAAAGAGTCTATGAGTATATCTTATGTTGGTTTGCAAACATCTTACAACATCCAAGTGCTAAAAATGAAACTGCTCTCATTATAATTGGAAAACAAGGAACTGGTAAGAACACATTCTTTACAGATATCTTATGCAAACTGTTAGAGGGCTATTCGAACCCGAATATGACAAACTTAGAAAACATCTGTGGCAAGTTTAACTCCTCAATAGAGAATATGAAACTTATAGTATGTAACGAACTTCAAAGTATAGATACAACAAAAGTTTTGAACTCAGATGCTTTGAAGAGTCTTATAACAGACAAAGTTGGAGTTGTTGAAAGAAAGTATAAAGACCAAAGAGTTTGTGAAAATGTTGCAAACTTCATTATGGTTTCAAACAATACTGTTCCGATGAAGTTAGAAAGTTCTGACAGAAGATATGTAGTTGTCAGAACGTCAGATTCTCATATGCAAGATACAGAATATTTTGACGACTTAGCAGAAACTTTGACATCTGACTTTTACAACCACTTGTTCTCATATTTTATGACATTAGATATTTCAAAGTTCAATCCAAGACAAATTCCACATACCGAAGAGAGACAAACATTGTTAGAAGCAAACAAGAGTGTATATGAACTGTTCATAGATGAAACTGACTTTGAGTGTTTAGATGAAAGGTCATTGTACGATTCGTATAAACAATATTGTCAAGAATATGGTTATATGACAGCTTCTAAACGTACATTCTTGGCAAATGGCAAAAGTCTTTTAGACGTACAGAATGGTGTATATACAAAGAAAAATTTTTATGAGTAAATTTAAAAAAAAATATTTTTTTATCCGATAGAAAAGATGAC